AACTTTATATGAAATCACATATAAGAGGTTGTGAGGGGAAAGGGGGGGAAAACAAGGGAGAGAACTGAACATCAGATTAGGTAGAGAGGGAAGATGGGAGGGGAGGGGAGGGAAGGGGGGATAGTAGGGGATAGGAAAGGCAGCAGAATACAACAGTCACTAATATGCCATCATGTAAAAATGTGAATGTGTAACTGATGTGATTCTGCAATTTGTATTTGGGGTAAACATGGGAGTTCATGACTCACTTGAATCAAATGTATGAAAGATGATATGTCATGAGCTTTGTAATGTTTTGAACAACCAATAAAAAAATAAAAGAAAAAAATTAAAATAAAATAAAAGCCACAGAAGAGGTATTCCCTTGAATATTGAATGTCCCTTTGCTTTGTAAATAATAAAGACTAGGTAGCTGGGATTTAAGCAGATCACTGGGTGCAGAATCACCATTCCCTTGTAAAGTCCTTGGGAAAAGGCAGCTGCTTTTGAAATGCACATAAGCCTACATATCTGACTTGGGTGTGCTTGAAAGTTTTTCAAAAGGAATTTTTCTCTTCTAACAAGTGTCACTGCAGAGACCTCTGAACTTACCCCATTTAAAAAAATTATTTCTTCTTTTTAGATATACATGACAATAGAATGTATTTTCACATGGAGTATAACTCCCCATTCTTGCAGTTGTACATGGTGTGAAGTTACACTAGTCATATATTCCTATATTAACATAGGAAAGTTATGTCCAATTCATTCTACCATATTTTCTATTTTCTCATCCCCTCCTCCCTTTCCTTCATTCTCCTCTATCTAATCCACTGAACTTGTATTCTTCCCTCCTTCCCTTATTGTATGTCAGCACATCTAAATATCAGAGAGAACGTTTGGCCTTTGTATTTTGGGGGTTGACTTATTTCATTTAGCAGGATAGCTTCAGTTCCAACCATTTACTGGTAAATGCCATAATTTCATTCCTCTTTATGGCTGAATAATATTCTATTGTGTATATATACCACACTTTCTTAATCCATCAATCTGTTGAAGGGCACCTAGATTGTTGGTTTCATAGTTTGGCTATTATAAATTGAGCTGCTATAGCTGGGTGCGGTGGTGCATGCCTGTAATCCCAACAGTTCAGGAAGCTGAGTCAGGAGGATTGCAAGTTCAAAACCAGCCTCAGCAATGGCGAGGTGCTTGGCAAATCAGTGAGACCCTGGGGATGTGGCTCAGTGGTTGAGTGCCCCTGAGTTCAATACTGAGGACCAAATACATACATACATACATAAATGCATAAATAAATAAATAGAGCTGCTATAAACACTGATGTGGCTGTGTCACTGTAGGATGCTGATTTTAAGTCCTTTGGGTATATACCAAGGAGTGGAATAACTAGGTCAAATGTGAATCCATTCCGAGTTTCCTGAGGAATCTCCATACTACTTTCCAGAGTAGTTGCATCAACTTTCAGTCCCACCACATCCTTGCCAACATTTACTGTGAACTCACTAAGGCAGAGTTCAGTTTCCTGAGACTACTCAGAGAGGGTGCACATTCTGTCTCCTCCTCCCTATGACTCTTCCCTCTCTCTTCCTGCCCTCCAGTCTTTGAGGGTAAAGGGAACTGGGAAGTGGGTGTCAAGTCACAAGTTGACCTGTGTATCCATAGATCAAAGTCTCTCCACTGCCTTCAAATGGGTGGAGAAATTGTCTAGCTTCTCTCAACATCCAACAAAGACTTGTTGCACCAGGCAGTGTGCCAGGACCTGGGGACACAGCTGTGAGCACAGGCATAGCCCTAGGCTCCTGGGAGGTGTCTATAGGAAGGACAGAGTTTATGTAAGAAATTGCCATAATGGGCTATGGTATCATCTTGGGCACAGGCACAGTACCGAGGGAATTAATAGCTGAGGTTCTAACCTCATTTCTTCAGAAACAGCCCTGGGAGCTTCGGATGCAAAACTCTGCCTTTTCTCCCTAGTACTTTTTCAGGACTGATRTCTTCACTGTAATGAACTTGAGACTCCAGCTGTGTATACAGCTTGCTATGGTGAGAATCTACCATTCAGGAAATGATTTTTGGCTAAGGTTATATGGATACTAAAACCTGTCAGAATCATCTCAGATGCAAATGTTACTTGTCTGATGAGGATTCTTTCTGGATTGGGGGCTGTCTTTCTTAAGATCCAGGACTAAGGAGAATTCCATTTGCATGAGTTTAAAGGAAAACATTTATGTCCTTCGGTTCTATGTAAATGTCTTGTACTAGAGCCTTTATTTCCAAAGTAATAATAACTCACAGATAAGCATTTTATTGTTTCTGGCCTCTGTTTCTGAAATATAACATTCTTGCCACAAGTATGAATAATTCCAGCAGTTGAATAAAAAAGTTTAAAATTGTCTTTGTCCATTAACATTTTTTGGCAGGGGAAGATAAAAATTCAAGTGAAAAAGAAAAACTTATAACCATGAAAATTATTTTTAAATTTTATTTTGTTTTCAGATATCTGACTAGATATTGATGACTGAATGGCTGACAGTTTTGACATATTTTATTTTGAGATGGCTTTCACTATGTAGCCCACGCTGGTTTTTGCACTCCTGGATTCAAGTGATCCTCCTTCCTCAGCCTTCCAAGTCCTGGGTCTATCCGTGCACAAAACAGCACCAGGATCATACAATAATCTTCTTCTTTTAGAGCTTTTAGAATACATGTCTATTTCTTTCCCTTTTAAAGCGTACCTGTTAAAGCAAAGAACATATATGTAACCCTGGATGGGCCTCTGAGATCCCCCTGGATTCCTAGTTCTTTATAATGCTCTGGATCTATAGAAGCTATATCATTGGTCTTTAAAAATCTAAAATTCAAATATCTTTGTTGCATAAGATTACCATTCAGTTTTCCTCTTCTTTAAGCCCAGATTTGAAAAACGTTTATTTGTTGGAGTTCCACCCTTCCCTCAGCCTGGCAGGGTTGGTCCCCAAAGCCCTGGAGCACCTGTTCAGTGAGGCCTGCCGCACCTGCAGGCYCACTTCACCCAGTGGCCTCGCCTCGCTGGAGCGACACATCCTGCAACTGGCTCTGAACCTGTGGCTCGCACCAACCAAGCCCGAGAACTGGTACAGCGAACAGCTCCAGAAAGATGTGGGTTCCTTCTGCAGGGGGTAGTTTGGGTTCTTGGCAAGAGAACACTTCCTTCCAGATGTTACTGTTTAGCTCTGTTTTTCTGCTTGGCTCTATACCCTTCTTTTTGGCCAGAGATAGATCACAGTGCTAGGCCTTGCCAATAATTTTATGTGATTTTCTTTTTTTGGTCTAAGTTTCTAGTTTATAAGCCTGCTGCTACAATTAAAATTAAAAAGGAGATTATGTAGGTATGGGAAAATATTTTCTGGTTTATTATTTACAACAAAACATGTTTTTATTAAAAATTACATATTTTCTTCTAAGACTCTTCCTAGAATTTGCTCTGTTTGTCTTGAGTCAAACTCTGGTGGAGGWGAGAGAATACTGAGTTTTTGGACTTCAGTTGAGTCCTATCATTAACCTGCTGAGTCTAGGCAACTGTTTTAGGCTTTCTGAGCCCTACTTGTCTTGAAATTTTATGTTTGTATATTTGGGGAGAAATTAACAGAGGTAAGCTTGATGACCTTGAAAGTCCTTTTTTCTAATGCCCAGTGGTTCTAACTGTGGCCTAATGATTTATATGGTATCCTTAGTTGGATTTTAATCCTCTTTCTTTCTTTCTTTTCTTTTCTACTAAGTCTATCAAGATTGAGCCTGGGTTTCCAATTTGATGTTACTCTGTGGGGCACTTGCTATATGATAGAAAAACATCYGCTCCATGCTTCTGTCTTATCTTCTTATCCTCCCCCTCCCAAACTAAGACTTGATGTGATTTAAAATTGATTAGATAATATAAAATAATAAAATAAAATAATATAAAATTAAAGAGAATTTAGAAGAAGAGGGAAAACAAAATTTAACCACTCAAATACACTCAATATTTTTCTGAGTTCATGTATTTTTCACATGCCTGTTTGACATAGTTACAAACATATCTTTCATACACTGTTGTCTTCTATTTTTCTTAGTGAATATTATACTATATATTTTCCTGTGTTACTAACTAGTCTTTTCACTCACTTTTATGACCACATCATTCCCTTACATGATGAATTATAACCACTCTACCCATTTCCCTACTGATGGGCATTTGAGTTTTTCATCATTATTAAAAATACCAAGAAGTACATCKTTATGCTTAGGGATTTTTCCGAATTTTGAACTGATTCCTTTGATAGATTCTTGGAAGTGGAATTGCTGAAATGAAATTTAAATCTTTAAATGCAAATTGGCAGATTATTTCCTGAAAGAGCTGTGCCAACTTATGTTGCTACCAACAGAGGGCCAGTTCAGCTATAGCTCACAAGGCCGGATTTGGTGAAAACATACAATGCATGTGCTCATCTAACCTAAACGTAAAATGGCAATATGCTTTTAATTTACATTGCAATTTATTGAGATTATTTTTTCAAATGTTTGGTTATTAGTTATAATCTTTGTGACATTTYTGTTCTTTGTTGATTTTTCTGTTGGAATCCTAATGCCATTCCTATCCACTTACATGAGCTTTTCTATCATATGTCTATCATATTTTCTGCAAGTATTTCCCCCATTTGTCTTTTAACAGAAAATTTTTATTTTCATTTAGTCAAATCTGTTGATCATTTCCTTTGTGATTTCCTCTATCCTTCTAGATGCAGTGAGAAAATCTTCCTCCAGATGTTTCAAATTTTCTTTTTATTCTAATTTTAAAGGTTTGCTTTTGTTTTTAAAATATTAACTCCTTTACTATTTCACTCAAGTGTGTGTGTGTGTGTGTGTGTGTGTAAAGCATGAATCAAAATTGAGTTTTTCTTCAAATTATCAGCCATTTATTCTACTATCATTTACTGAAGATTCTTTCTACATTGTCTTATGGTGCTGTTTTTTTAAATATATTTCAAATTTTCTCATAAATCATAATGAATACCTGGGATATTTGTCTAGTCTCCTATTGATGTATTATTATTATTATTATTATTGGTACCAGGGACTGAACCTAGGGCCTTGCAAATGGTAGGCAAGTGCTCTACCTTCTGAGTGACACCCCCAGCCCTTAATAATCATTTTTGAAATGTGTTCCAATCTGTACTTAGAAATGCTAAATATTTAGCCAGATTTTTTTTTGTATTAGGTTAGAAAGTGGGGGAAGTATTACTCCCAGAAGACATGCAAGAATTTAATACTGTCTTTGGTATCCTGCTAGAAGACATCAAGGGTCTAGGAAAGGCATCCTTGAGTACACACATCCTTTGGCAGATAAGTGGGTAGRTGAGAAAGCTGGTGAACCTTGGGGGACCAAACCAGGAAAGGCAGATAGAGAGTCCCCAAACTTAGTCCTTGCTGGGGGTGGTACATTAGGGGACAACAAAGATGTCAGAGCAGAATTACCCATGAGGGAGGCACCATCTGGCATTAAAGGACGTTTTGTTACTTCACAGATTACCCATGGCCAGCTCTAAGTATGGGGAAGGAGTCCTGTGAGGACAGTTGGGTGTCCTGTCAAACTGTTGGACACGGCATTAGGAAGCTCAGTTTCCTCCAGATACCCCTGGGCTTGGTATAGAGGGGRGGAGAAGAGAGAGATTACTGAGTTATGTTTTAATTATAAGCACTAGATTATGGTAAGACATCAAGTGACAGGCTCCATCCATGGGAAAAATATGGAACTAGGGAATCGGATGCCAAYGTGTATGAGTGCTGTCGTATTCTGGAAAGCGTCAATGTTGTTGATTCCTTGTTGGCAAAGGTGGATAATGGTGTCTGTGGTGCCTAATTCCTGGGGTGGGAGAGTGTCTGGCAAAAATAAAAATGAGTCAATATGTGTGTAAATACTTGAAATTTTGAAACTGCAATTAGAGGGATTTATAAAAAATTCTTGGCCACCAAAATAATTTTTAAGATCAGGGACTTATTTTTCTATTTAGATTATTGTTGTCTTTATTTAGACTGAAAACATTTACAATAATGATAACAACAAATGTCTTTGTGTATGTTAACACAGCCCTATTAGGTAGTCATTATCTGGTAGTATCTAGTAGATATTGTTATTATTTTTATCCCTACTTTACAGAGATGGTATCAGGGCTAGGACTTGAGCTCAGGAAATCTGGACCCAGAGTCCATGCAATGACAGCATTTCAAAAAAAAAAAAAAAAAATATATATATATATATATATATATGAAGTCTTTTTGTGTGTGTGTGTTTTGAAAGGTACTTTGCATTCTTTCAGCTGTTTTCAGCTAGAGTGATGGGAGATCCCTTTCTCGTGGAGGAGACAGGCCTGCTTGCACTCACATCCGCAGCAGACGAAGGACAGAAACAGGGCCAACAGCCTCACATGCTGCTCCTGGAGACATTTTCCAAACTTCTGGAACTCCTGACTCTCCGCCACCGTCTGATCGCAATGAGTCTTGAGAGTGCACACCTAGCTCGGTTAGTAGGGGGGCCAAGGAGCCAGGTGAGACGTGAGCATTACAGCAAAATGAGGGGAATAAATGACAGGCCCGGGCCTCCCCATCTATAAGCCTTGCCCCAGAGTGAGTTTTCTAATTGGTTAAAGTGATCACCTAGCATGTTCTAGACCTCACCTGCATGTACCTCTCTGACCACTCAACTAGCTAAGTCCTCCCAGTGGCCCCTAGGTTTCTTTTCTATTCAGCACATGACATTTTTTTTTTTTTTTTTTGTATTGGGAATTGAACTCAGGGGCATTCTACTGAACCACACTCTCAGCCCTATTTTGTATTTTATTTAAAGACAGGGTCTCACTGAGTTGCTTAGGGCCACACAGTTGCTGAGGCTGGCTTTAAACTCACGATCCTCCTGCCTCAGCCTCCCAAGCTGCTGGGATTACAGGCATGCGCCACCGCACCCATCCGTAGCACATGACTTTTTAATTGATGTTTAATACTGGTTTACCAGTTTTTCTGCTAGCATCTGTTCCCCGAATGCAAAAAGCCCTGTCCACGTTGTTTACCATGATATCCCATTACCTGGTCTCTTAGTCTGTTTTGTGCTGCTATAACAGAATGTCTGAGACTGGGGAATTTATAAAGGATGGAGATTTATTTCTTCTGGTTCTGGAGGTTGGGAAGTTCAAAACTGAGAGGCTACATCTGCATCTGATGAGGGCCTTTTTTTTTTTTTGGTACCAGGAATTGAACCCATTGGGTGTTTAACCACAGAACCACATTCCCCAGCCCTTTAAAAAAGTATTTTATTTAGAGACAGAGTCTCACTGAATTGCTTAGGTCCTTGCTAAGTTGCTGAGGCTGGCTTTTGAACTCATGATCCTCCTGCCTCAGCCTCCCAAGCAGCTGGGATTACAGACGTGCACCACCATGCTAGGCATCTTTTTAAAACAATTTAAAAAATATATATGAATGACAGTAGAGTGTGTTTTGACATGTTATACATACACGGAGTATATCTTCCCATTTTTGTGGTTGTACATGATGTGGAGTTACGCTGGTCATATACTCATATGAACTCCATTTTTTTCTTTCTTTTTTAAAATTTGTTCTGCTTAGATATACATGTCAGTAGAATGTATTTTGACATATTTATGTAAACATGGAGTGTATCTGATTCTAATTGGAATCCCAGTCTTGTGGTTGTATATAATAAGGAGATTGATTGTGGTGGATTCATATATGTACATCAGAAGGTTGTGCCAGGTTCATTCCACTGTCCCGCTTGATCTCAGACACTTATTCTCCAGAACTCTGAGACAATATATTTCTGTTGTTTAAGCTACTAAGCACTTTGTGTGTTTCTGTGGCACTTCATTACAGCAACCTGAGCAGACTGACACAGGTGCCAATTGAACTTCCTGCATCAACTTCTCAAGATGAGAAATGTGTGAGCACAGGGGTGTGGAGACTGGGAGAACATTGTAGACATATAAGGCTGAGATGCCAGAGGGCCACCTGGCATCTGCCACACTGCAAGCCACGGAAACCTGGGACTGGGGCTGAGAGTTGAGTCAAGTTAGACATGGGAGTCACAGAGTCTTATACGAGGGGGTGATATTAGGGCCTGGGGTTGGATAGTCGGCTCAAGGAGGGGATGCAGTAAATGAGAAGAATCAGGTCTTGAACTCAGGAAACASCAGAATTTGAAAATGAGAAAGATTGGGCAGGAGCACGGTGATCTTGGATCTGGGACAGCACAGATGTTCTTTAAGGACAGGGTAGAGAGGCCAGCCAGGAAACGCACTGCGAGAAAATGGTGAATGTTGAATGGGGAGTGACATTGGTGACCTCGTGAGGGCTCTGGAGACAGAAACCAACCTGGAGGAAATGAGAGTGGTGGAAGTGCCCAAGCGAATCTCCTTCTACTTTGACTGTGTTCTGCAGCCCACAATGGTCACAGCAAGAGCAGAACGCAAGGCCTCGGGGCTCATTCACTTTCCACACTGTATTTGGCCAAGTTTTGTTTGACTTTTTGCTTTTGTGCTTTTTTAAGTGACTTGGTTTTATTATGATTACTTTTCTTCAGGAGAAAATATTAACACATGGCCTTGGCTCTCCTTTGCTTTTAGGCACTATCAGGAATTGGCTGAGGAGATGGGGTTTGAAGAGTTCCATTTATATCTGAGGCCCATTCACTTTGAATGTGCATCACCCAGGGACAAGGTGGACCAGCCACCTCCTGCCTTTATAACATCTCTGCTGGAGCACAGTGGTCGGCTAGACAGGTGAGCCTGGGAGGGCCGGAGTGAAAAAAAAAAATTTACTATAATGGTGGAATAAACAACCAGTGGGAACAAATTATTTCACCCATGGACAAACAAGATGAATTGTACTTCTAAATTCTCTTTCTTATGCCCCATMTGCCATGTCAAGCACATTGCCAGAAAGAAATCCCGTTTATCAGCTATAGACCTTGAATCTACTGAGTTGGGGGAAGGAATCTTCCTTATACAGAAGCAGCCTTTAATGTGTGGGGAGGAGAAACTTCTGCCTCTCTCTTCTTGCCTTCTCTGCTAGTCTGCCCTTTCCCCTGGGGTCCCAGCTGTCTCCCTGGAGGTTTATGGTATTGGCTCTGCCCCAGGGAAGGCAAAGGTGGCTCGCAGGAGGGAATCACCCTAGTTTTGCTAATGTGGATCACTGCTCTAATTATAACTCTGATATGTTGACATGCTAAAGGACTCCTCAGCGTGTGGCTGGAACAAAAAGGGTTAGGATGGTAGAATACAATATCCCCAGATTACCCAAGGCACTGTGGAAATTTTGGACTGGATAAGTCTTTGTTGGGGGAGGGAGACATCCTGTGTGTCTTAGATAATTTAGGAGCCTGCCTGACTTCCACCCACTAGATGACAGTAGTACCCCCACCACATACTCTATCCTCCCCAAACCCCCACCCTTTGGCTCTTCCTGACAATCAAAGATGTCTCCAGACATTGCCAAATAATGCCCTGGAGGCAAATCTCCCTGACTCTATTTTGTCACTAGTTAAACCAAACCCAGAATGCACTGGCGATACAGAGCTATGCCACAGAAGCCAAGGCAGGAAGTGTGGTCAGACTCAGGTCTCCAACTGACAAAAGTCAAGTCCGAAGCCAGGCTATCTACGGGTTCCTCAAGGGCCTCCTGCTGCAAAAATAGGAGACCTTTTTGTTCAGCTGGAATCCACCAATCAGCACAAATTGCCTGAATGTGCTGTACTCTGGTCAGGTGGTGATTGGTCCTCCAGTGATGATCCAGAGATGCTACAAGACAAGAGGAGCCTTCTGAATCACCAGGGAGGAGGTGCATGCATCTAGAGCACTTGTGTCTTGAGTTTGTATTATGTTATCTATGTTAATTCCCTGAAGCCACCACTTTGGAGGGCCACTGTAACAACCGCCTAGGCCAGATATGAGAATAGTGACTTCCGTTTTAAAAAGCACATTTATGCACACTACCCTGTTTCGTATTTCCATGACCCTATGAGATGAGCAATATCCTCATATTCACAGGAGGAAACAAAAATTGACTGATATTAAATTACCCAACAAAATCTCATAGTTATAGACAATAGACCATGTCCCAAGATGAAAATGTGACTGCAGAGAATATTTGGGTGACTTTTGGAACCACAAGAGAGTGAGAATTAGACAACATTTAGGGTGTGTTCCAAGGAGGAAGTCAGCAAGGTGTCCTGAGCAGGTGCGGTCAAGAAGGTGGGAGGAAAATAGGAGGGATCAGGAGAAAAGAATTTCAAACATGGAATGGTTACCACGACTGAACTGCAGAGTAAGGACTGAAAAGACTCCAGAGGCCTTACAGGTTTTTCTTTTTGTTTTTTGGACCAGGAATTGAACTCAGGGACACTCAGTCACTGAGACACACCCAGCCCTATTTTGTATTTTATTTAGAGACAAGGTCTCACTGAGTTGCTTAGGGCCTCGTTGTTGCAGAGGCTGGCTTTTGAACTCATGATCCTCCTGCGCCACTGGGTTTATAGGTGTGCACCACTGCACCTGGTGAGCCCTTCCAGTTTTAAGGTTGAAATATCTTATATAAAACCCGCAATTGCTGGTGCTGCTGATGTTCCAGATCTGATCTCATGCCATTTGTGCCATCCGAAGGGGCATCTCATGACACATACTATGTCACATCAAAACACTTGAATCAAAGTGTGAAATATGATATGTCAAGAACTACGTAATGTTTTGAACAACCAACAATAAAAATTTAAAAAAAAAATAAAACCATATGGTACCTATAAAAAAAATTTTAAAAAAACAACCTCATATTTCTTCTTGCAGATATTCTCCCACTACACTTGCCTTAGCCATCTCTGAGGTGGATGATAACCAAGTTGGCAAATTTAGTTTTTATACGAAAGAAGCCATCCTTAAGGTCAGTTATTTATTTTTTTTCCAAAAGAAACTGAAGCAAAATAAAGAATTTGCTTATGTGTTTTTTAGATCAATATTTAATTCATATATATTGACTTCCATTTTTAAGAAATGCTTTACTTCAATGGTAATAACAATGGTATCGCCTTGTCCTTGTGTGCATTGACCTGGTTTGAACCATGTAGACTGTAACACGCGAATAATGGCTTCTTTAGATAGAAAAAAGAAACACGTGTAGAGGGCCATCTTTGCATCAGGCTTTTAAAATATACACTTATTATTTGGAGTTTTTATATGACCTTTTTAAACTGGATGGGTTTCCCCCGCCCCAACAGTTGGATTTCTTTGCTTCTCTATGTTTTTGGATATTTCTTTTCTTTTCTTTTACCATGGATCTAATCTTGGCTCACCAGAGCCCACCACTGTACTTCATGAGAGCCTGCYCATCCTCTCCTGACCACTGGGGAAACCTCATGGTGCCCCGGTACAGGGCAAACCAGGCCTAAGGACTGCCTTGCTGGGTTGAAATGCTGTTGGGGAGAGAGCAGATTCAGTCTCGTGGCTGAGGAACAAGGATCTCAGCTCATCCTGCAGTTAAATTCATACATGAATTTATATGTTGAATAAGTGATGATCTCAACCTTTAATTTCGCAGATTTATGGAAGCATTTCCTAATGCCTTTCACATTTTCTTCCTTCAGCTCTTGTCCCAGTCTGGAGTGGAAAATATGCAAGTGACCCTCGCATGTCAAGCTGCTCAGAAAAATGCTTTGATGGTGGCAGTTCAACAAGCATCCCTCTATCACAGGACAGTGGGCTGTCCTGCTGAGGTCAAGGTCAGCCTACATAATGCAGAAGCCAGACTCACGCTGCTGCTATCACCAGCTCCCCCTTCTTTCCCTCCCTCCCTCCCTCCTTCTTTGTCTGTTGGTGATTGGTTATAGTGAAAGTCAATGTCCATTGGTTATGTCCAGTGAGGTGATGTAATTGCAGCTGGACATGTTCTTTCCTTTTCTTCCTCCTTTCCTCCCTTTCCCCTCTCAGTCCCTTTTGTCCTCTTTCCTCTCTGTATAGGAAAAACAAACTTAGATTCAGTTTCTCATCCTATATACTCACAAGACAAATCACCCTGTGACCTCAAAAGGTGTGGGGACTTCTCCCCACCAGCAAGCAAGCAATGAATTCTGCAGAGGACGCCAGCTGGGCATCCTCTAATTCAATTCAGTTCTGACACCTTCTACCTGAATGTAGCATCAGATCCCACAGGTGAGGGCTCAGTCCTAAGACTGCTCCCATCTCAGATCCAGTCACAAGTCTGGACCAACAGAACTTCTGGCTGACTGGCTACAAACTGGGGTTCCCACAACCATATTCCCAAGTTTGAGTACATTATGCCTGCTTCCCTCCACCTTCTGAGTTTCAAGTATTTCTTTTGCCAGTTGGATCCTTATCACCTAGATTCTTTTTTTTTCTTTCTTTTTTATTTCCTGTACTGGGAATTGAACCCAGGAAACTTTACCACTGAGCAACATCCCCAGCCCTTTTAATTGTTTATTTTGAGACAGGGTCTCACCAAGTTGCTTATGGCCTTGCTAAGTTGCTGAGGCTGGCCTCAAACTTGTGATCCTCCTGCCTCAGGCTCCCAAGTCACTGGGATTACAGGCATGCACCATGTGCYGGGCCCTACCTGTAGGGTATATTCTTAATTCATTTGCTCCCAACTCTTCCGAGACCTTGCTTCATCAGTATGGCGAGTGGTGCTGTTAATAATTATTCAGAGGTGGATTGTCTTTAAATGCAAGCATATATTTGATAACGCCAATCATCAAATATAAACAATTAATGCAAAAAGTGTTGGGTGTGCRGGAGCACCTCAACTAGCATTCAAAGCACACTAATTAAACACTATAAGCAAATCACACAATCCCAGGGCAACCAAGATTCCCAAAATATCTCCGATGCCATCCATGCAACTTCTTTTAGCCAAAGAGCAGATGTTGTCTTTGTCTGGTGATTCTCTCCKGTCAATGGCTGGACATCAGGGAAGGGTGGAGCCAGTCCAGAGATGGACAGCAAGGCAGCCAGCCTCACTGATGTCCTTGRAGCAGAACTCTTTGATGTGGCAGGACCAGCAATTTAAATACAGTTCCAAGTTTGTGGTGTATGCTGGTGATTGGTTATAGTGAAAGTCAGTGTCCACTGGTTATGTCCAGTGAGGTGATGTAATTGCAGCTGGACATGTTCTTTGTGCATGTCCACGGAGCTGTGCTCCCTATCAATTGTAACCAGTCATGGCCAGTGCCCCTCACAGCTCTTTATCAGTTTCAAGCAGACAGGACTAAGCAGTTCAATGGCTGCTGTTCCTATGGCCACCAGCATGTCCCAGAATGTCTATGGAAGATGCTCCTTACAATCAGCTACCTGCTTTCTCTACTTCACTTTCAGCTCTCCAATTATGGACAGGCTGAACTGTTTTCATTCTCTCCATAAAGCTTGTTGTCCTTGTCCTATGTGCCTCTCTCACCAGTACCCTGATTAGGATCTCTTCTTCACATTTATGTTTACTGAAAGGATAGTTTTTAACTCCTTGTCTTCCTGTCCTAACACCCTAGGTACTATAGCTGCACTCCCTCCTCCATCACCCCTCTCTCACTAGATTCAGCCTTGACTTTTTTTTTAAAGAGAGAGAGAGAGAGAATTTTTTTAATATTTATTTTTTAGTTCTTGGCGGACACAACATCTTTGTTGGTATGTGGTGCTGAGGATCGAACCCGGGCCGCACGCATGCCAGGCGAGCGCGCTACCGCTTGAGCCACATCCCCAGCCCAACTTTCTTATTAATTAACCCAGAAGATGCCKTTTAGCAACTTGACCTGACTTCTTTCCTCCATTTAATGCTGTTGACTACCACCTTATCCTTGAGGCTCTCCTTCCTCGGCTTGCCTGACTCCACTGTCTCCTGGCTCTCTTCTGTCTCTTTGATTGTTCCTTCTCAATCTCTTGGAGTGGGACCTCTCTTCTCTCCCAGCTCTTAGATGWTGGTGTTTCCCTCTATTGTGCCTCAGAACTCCTTGGCTCTTCCCTTATCTGTCCTCCATGGCTATTCTCATCACCTCTTGTGATTTAAAACCTGTATATCCRAAACCAATACATGATCAACTTTCAAAAGTACATCACTTCATAGAATCTCTCTACTAAACCCCAAACTTGGGTGTCCAAGTACCTGTTAGACAACTTTTGTGTATCCCATAGGCATCTCAATTCAGCATGTACAAAGGGAACTAATTTCTCTCCCATATGGTTCTCTAGTATTTCCATTCTTGGTTAAGTGATCTTTATCTGAATAGTCATTTGGGCCCCAAACCTCAATCACCCTTAATGTCTCTGGTTTCCTTACCTTGGATCATACACTCAATCATTAACTCTTACCAATATCATATTGTAAATATTGATTGAATATGCCCCTTTTCTCCATCTGCATTGCTTTAGGTTAAACTCTCATTATCTTTTTTTTTTTTTTTTTTTTTTTGTGTGTGTGTGTGTGGTGCTGAGGATTGAACTCAGTTCCTTGTGCATTTGAGGCAAGCACTCGACCAACTGAGCTATATCCCCAGCCCTCATTATCTCATTTTTTATGGTTATAATGGCCTTTGAACTAGCCTCTACCTCCTGGGCCCTTGCCTTGTACCACCACAWCTGCCTCCAGTCAAATTTCCCCTTCACACAGTGACCAAAGAATCCACGCCTTCAGTGACTCTGYATAGTCCAAAGAGCAAAGCTCAACCTCCGTAGCTATGTATGCATGGTCTTCACTACCCAACCCCGGCTTCCAATCCTGCCACTTCCCCTGCACTCTAAGGGCCCTAAATATTTTATGCTGTTTCACATCTCCATGGTTCTGTTCAGATTTCCCCATAATATTTTTCCTTTCCTTTCAACAGTCTATCTTCCCTGCCCACCACTTTTGCTTTTGTTTATAGGATGCTACTCATCCTCTGATATTCAACTCAACCCAGTTTTTACTTCTTTCAGGAAGTGTTCATGTCTATTTTAACTCTGTTAAAGTGAATTTTGTGACTCCTTCATAAAAGTATACTGTGAATGTGTGTGGGGGGTGTGTATACACACATACACATACACAGACATAACATAATCACAGGACAAGAAGGGGAGTGGTGACAAAACCAGAAGGAATAAATTCTCAATACAATAAAAGGGGACAAAAGGCAGGGAAGGAGGAGAAAAGAGAGAGAGAACACAAAATCAAAGGAAATATTTCAAGAAAGAATGAGTCACCAAAGATGTAGGTGAAAAATATGAAAAGATGTTCAACATGATTAGTCATTAGAGAAATGCAAATTAAACCCACTGAGAAACATTTCATATCCATTTGAATGGTTAAGGTTTCCGACTGACCATCCCAAGCGTTGGCAAGGAYGTTGAGGATCTGGAACTCTAGTACACCGTTAGTAGGAAAATAAAATGGTACAACTCCCTTGAAAAATGGTTTGGCAATTTCTTAAAAAGTTAAACATAAACGTACAATGTGATCCAGCCATTCCATCCCTAGGTATGCAACCAAGAGAAATGAGTGTATGTGTCTATACAAAAAAAAAAAAAAATGTTTATAGACGCTACATTCATTATAGTCAAGAACTCCAATGTCCATGAATGGTGGAATGGATAAATAAATTGTGATACATCCTACAATGGACTACTAGTAGACAATAAAAAGAAATCATTGATATGTACAAAAATATGGATGAAGTCCAACCAAAAAGAGTATTACTGTATGACTCTATTTATGCAAAATTGTAGGAAATTCATTCTAACCTAAAGTTTCAGAAGGCAGAACAGCTACTGTGTGCAGAGGTATGTGTCAGAATCCCAGTAACTTAGGAGGTTGAGGCAAAAAGATCACAAGTTCAAGGCCAGCCTCAACAACTGAGAAACTATTTAAAAAATAGATAGATAGGGTTGGAGATGTAGCTCTGTAGTAAGGTATCCCTGGGTTTAATTCCTAGTACCAAATTAAAAAAAAAAAAAAGAAAGAAAGAAAAGAAAGCAAACCAGTGGTTGCTTGAAGAGAGCAGGTGGGAAGGATGGCTTTGGTGATTAGTTTGATTGTGATAATGGTTTTATAGTTGAATAAATTTGTCCAAACGTATCTGATTTTACACTTTAAATATGTGATGTTTATTAAGTGTAAATTATTCCTCAATAAAGTATGTGATGTTTATTAAGTGTAAATTATTCCTCAATAAAGTTATTATTTTAGAAAGAAAGAATTCTCTAAGTTTGAATAGAGAGGTAAAACCCAGATGGTTAGGGATTAAAATGAGGTCATTAACTTGCTCTGCTGACGCCAGAGCAAGTCTACTAATTGTTTTGGAGTAAAAGCTCCAGAGAGGGCCAGAGTTAAGGAGCAAGAGGCTGACAGAAGTGTCCAAGGAGTGTGTATTTATGGCTCTTGCATCAGTCTACTCATACTGCCACAATAGAACACTATAAACTAGGTGACTTCAACCACTGAAATCTACCTTGTCACAGTTCCGGGGTGAGAAGTTCAAGATCAAAGTGCCATCATGGTTGGTTTCTGGTGGGAGCTGACTTTGTGGCTTGCAGATGGTGGCCTTCTGCTGTGTTCTCTTATTAAGGAGTRAAGAAGGTGGTAGGGATGCGGGTGAGGAGAATCCATCAGGGTCAAGTCCTGTCTCCCCAGATGTGAAGACTGAACACCCCAAAAAATGCAGAGGCAAGTGTAGAAGCAAGTTTTATTAAAGGATGGGACAAAGATAGACTTCTCTGCGGAGAAGGGGCCCCTGAGCTGGTTGTCTGAGGAAGTGGGAGTGTCCTGCCCCTTTTATACATTTTGGAATTCCTTTCTTTTCAMGGCCTCTCTCCCACCATCCTGCATACAAGTGACCTGACAAGTGACCAGAAGGTGGGCCAAAGGTGGATTGATCCAGGCAGRAAGGGAGCAGCCCAGGGGGCATTAATTAACAACTTCTACAACTCCCTGCATGGAGGCAGGTCACCTTGGCAACAGTAGGAGGAGGGGGAAGTGTTCTGGAGGTAATTTTCTGACCCAAAATATTCCTTCCCTACACTGACTGTCTTTTTGTCCCCTGGCCTCAGGGGGAAGCAAGGAAGGGAGAGTGCTGAGATCTCTTGCCCTTTGTATTTGGGCACTAGCCCTGTTGGATTAGGGCCCTACTTCCATGACCTCATTTAAATTTCCCACCTGCCAAAGGCCCTATCTCCAAACACCATCCTATTGGGGGTTAAAACTTGAACACGTGAATTTTGGAGGGACACAAACACTCAGCCCATAGCAGTTCTTTAAGAAGTTTGGTCAGAATTGAGGAGGAAAGTTGAGGGAGTAGGAGAAATAAGGAACAATGAGAGAGGTGGACACATTTGTAGGAAGGAGTTGGAAAAAAGAGGAAGGAATTGAAGATGGACCTGAAGGGAGAGTGCCCTGAGGYGATCAGGAGCCCCTGTGGTGCAGGCTGGCAGGAAGCTAAGCCATGGAACTACGTGGGCTCATGGAATCCTCTCCAGCCCCAGGGGATGGGTTTGGTTCCAGGTGAGGAAGCAGATTCTGAGAGGGGAAGGAAGAGAGACAAGGTCACCTGCCAAGYGCCAGCATCAGAATCTCCTGCAGAGCAAGGACTCTTCCCTCTCTTCTCACTCACAACCATGTAGGACCTCCCCAGTTTCCTGAGCTGGTAGAGACTCCTATTTCCCGCAGACTGGAAGACCCCAAGGGTTTTCAGGAAAAAAAAATAAGGTTGGAAACTCTTGAGATGTTCTACCTAGAATTTTTTTTTTTATTTTTGCCTCACTCTTCTTCCGTCTCCTTTAGTAATTCTGATATAGGGATCTCCTTGATTCTTCCATAGAAGAAGAATGGACTTTCCTTTGAAGATTTAACCTTTTTTAGTTTAGAAAAATATACCRTTCATTGTGCCTCACAGCTCCATAACAAATGGAGCTGGAACATTGGAAGATACTCATTTTCCTTTTTTCTTTCCCACTCCTCCTTYCCTCCTTCCTCACCTCTCCCTCCTTCTGCTTCCCTCCCTCACTCCCTCTTTCCCTCCTTCTTAACCACAGGGTGCATGGCAGCATTTATTTATTTTTTAAATATTTTTTATTTGTTCTAATTAGTTATACATGACAGTAGAATGCATTTTGACACATCATACATAAAGGGAGTATAACTTCTCATTCATCTGGTTGTACATGATGTGGAGTTACACAGGTCATGTAATCTTATGTGCATACAGAGGATAMGAATGTCTGATTCATTCTACTATCATTCCTATCCCTATGCCCCCTTCCTCCCTTCACTCCCCTCTGTCTAGTCCAAAACACCAAGATTCTCCCCCATCCTCATTGTGAATTATCATCCGCATATCAGAGAAAACATTGTTTTTGGTTTTTTGGGATTGGCTTATTTCGCTTAGCATAGTATTCTCCAGTTCCATCCATTTACCAGCAAATGCCATAATTTCGGTTTTCTTTAAGGCTGAGTAATATTCCATTGTGTATATACAGTTTTTTTTATCCATCTGTTGAAAGGCATCTAGGTTGGTTCCATAGTTTAGCTATTGTGAGTTGAGCTACTATATGGTTTCATCACTGTAATATTCTGATTTTAAGTCCTTTGGGTATAAAATGAGGAGTGGGGTGACTGGGTCAAATGGTGGTTCTATTCCAAGTTTTCTGAGGAWTCTCCATACTGCTTTCCACAGTGGTCGCACTAATTTTCAGTCCCACTGGCAATGTATGAGTGTACCTTTTCCACCATATCCTTGCCAACATTTAWTGTTGCTTGTATTCTTGAGGATTGGCATGGCAGCATTTAAATCCCACCTCCATTTGCTTAGGTGCCCTGAGGGAATCTTCCAGATCTTGTAGCTGTGAAATCCATCAGCATTATTTCTTGAAAGGTTACTCCACATAGCACACTACTCCTAACCACTTTGTAGAATGGAGAATTTTTCTTATAGCGCTTTAGACAACAGTACTCTATTCTGAAAATAGTCCTCCTTAGTGCCTCGCCCCTTTGTTGTGCAAAGTGGTATCTCTTTTCCTCTTCTTCCTCTCCCCATCTCCTCCTCCCACTTACTCAGGCATATACTTGTGCTTGGGGTCAGCTGTGGCCGTGATGTAATTTTATAGGGAGCACTTATACATCTAACCAATTTAATTCACTATGATTTAAAATATTTTAGGAAGTAAGTGCAGAACTGGAAAATCATGGCAGAATGAGTCCAACCAGAAGAAGAAATTCCAGAATTGTGAATGACACAGAAAACTTTCTGTTAGCCCCAACTCCAAATGTCCCAGACAACCTTACGCATTCTTCAGAAAGATTTCAGAGGACCAAAAGGTATTGTACCTTATGGGAGGATTGTTTAAAATAATAAAATTATCCTCTTTTCATTCAATTGATTCTATTGTGTTATGGGATTGAAGAAGCCTAAACTCTCAGAGTAACTAGTATGTGTTTTATTTCTTAAAGAACCTCATATGAAGACCTGTGTGAACACTGGGAAGGCTCAGCTCCTTCCAGTATACCCTCGTCTATGAAAGAAAGTCACCTGGTCTTCATTTAAGCCTCTTCTTTACTCTCTGTCCCTCTAACTCTCTGTCTCTCTCCTCTTTTCTCTTTCTCTTCCCTTCCTTCACTCTCTCCTCTTTCTCGGTAATTGTTCATACTCTTTTTGAAAAATATATTTGTTCATATATTTATTTATTTATTAATGTGGTGCTGATTATCGAACCCAGTGCCTCATGCATGTGAGAGAAGTGCTCATCCACTGAGCTACAACCTTATCTCTGCTTATACTCTTTTTGCAAGCAAGAATAATAATAGGACAATCTAAATTTTCCATATCTCTCTTAAATTGAGAAGCCCAGAACTTCCTGCCATATTCTAACAAAGATTTTGCTATTGTTTATATAATAAGATGGTAACTTGTCACAGAGGCGTGGCCTCCAGAGATATGTCTATAAATCAGGAATGGCCTGCTATATCTTGAATTCTTTTCACCCTGACAAAGAAAGAATGATGCTTACATTCTGTAATAATTGTGATTGCTCTGAGTATTTTATTGGAGCCATACCAAGGACACTCACAAATTTAGACACTGGCAAATTTAGAATGAAAAAAAAAAAAAAAAACAGGCAAAGCAACTCTACTACTCAAGATGCCACTGACTTGGCCAGAGTTCAAGTGCCTTCAGTCCACATCCCCAGTGTGTGGGTAGAAGATTGAGATCAGTGTGTTTAGTCAAGGGGACCCTTGGAGACCACTTCAGTTCAGGTAAAGGGCACCTTGGGCCAGGCTTGATGTTTGGGATCAAGAAGGGACAGCTGTCATATGGTTTAGGCATTATATGTCTCYGAGAAGCCTGGAGCACACCAACATCTTTGGTGAACAATCAGAAACACTTGGAGCAAGAGAGAACCATGGAGCCCTCCTGCTGTGACACCCAGAACTGGAGTTGTCCTTGTGTCACGTGTCCTCTTACCTCCCACCCTGGCTCAGATGCCTCTGTTCACTTCTCAGGGCTCCAGAGGCTTTTGTGTCTATTCAACTAGAAAAGGTGGGGCTGCGGGACATGATGCTGACCACCTTTCACCTCAGGAAACAGACCATGGCCGGCAGAATGAACAGCCCTGTGAGTGCGCAGAGATAAGAGCTCCCTAAGTTCTGGTCCTTTTGCATTTGAGCAAATAAAATTTCTGAACTTGGGGTCTGTGGCTTTCAACCTATTTGGGTGGGACTATTGAAAATACAAGGAATTGATAAAGGAAATCCAATAGAAATCGAATAAATTCAAGCAGGTTATTATAGTCAGGTTTTTAAAAATGCTTGCATTTTTTCAAGGCCACATTTTGTTTTGTCATTTTCTAAATGGGCTGTTTTCAGCACCTGCTTTGAAACATTTAGCTACTCCTGAGGTAGGTTTTGGGTTTGGGTGGCTTAGGTAAGGTGGGTAAGGGCTCTGATACCTATTATCTTGGTTTTTGAGATACTTCCAACATGTTCCTGTTTAAGAGTTTTCATACTACTCTAATCAGTTGAAAAATATTATAAAATTCAAACCTTTAATTAGTTAAAATCATTGCTTAATTTTGTGAATAGCGTTTTATTATTCATTCATTTTGATGAGGAAATGATTATGCTCATGAATAGTTATGGTGGGAAATGAGAGGTTTATCTCTAGGCTTTGTCCTTACTTGTGACTAAAAAAAAAAAAAAAAAAAAAACAACTTAAATTTGCCTAACCTACTTCTGCAAATGGGTATGATGAAGGCCAGACATTTTAACTACTGAAGAATAATCATGGAGGCAAAGGGCCCCTTCTAATAAGCAATTCTCAAAAAATAGTGATAGAGTGAAAATATAACATTAACTATCCTTCAGCATTATCCAACAYCTACAGATCAGAAATAATTTATGCAATATAATGATCAGTTAGTTTTGCTAGGATCTTGGATTGTAGCCTACTTGCATGTTCATAAGTTAGCCTGCTAGCAGAAGACACAAGACTTGCAGGTCAGAGGCAAAGAACTTTATTGCTTACAGCAGAGCAGGTAACATGAGTTCTATATTTGTGTCAGTTGTCTTTACCTCCCAAATCCCACAGAGACAACTAGGAGGAGCCTACACGTGCCCACTAGGTTTGTGTCATAGTTGAAAACACTAAGCTTGGGGAACCCACCTCTTTTATAGCAAGCCTGCTTATTTTCCTAGAAGGAGACATTAACTCATCCCTTAAGACGGCTCTCTGCAAACACAACCCTGAGAAATGATCCAGGTAGAATGATTAGGACCTTGCATTCTTGACATACTTAGAAATATTCGTAAGAATAGAAGAGACACACAGAAGAGGGTATCCCGATAAGCTTACYTCCAAAAAGAATGTCTCAGTTGTGTGGCCTTTTCCTGCTTAAAGTTGAAGTTTGTTTGAATACATGTACCAAGTTGGGTAGTGCTTATAGCCAACCATCTAATAGAAGAACTATCATTTTCTTTTACCACAGGATGAAATTGGAAAACTCAAGAGGGATGTTATAATTGAATATTGTCAAAAGTAAGTATTGTACATGTGATAACACACRCTGATTTGTTCTGAATGCAAGAACCGGTAAGTGGTATTTTGCAGAAATTCAGACAATAAGTGAGGTTGGTTTTGTTTAAACAAACCACATGGCTATTGGATAAAATCAAGTTAAACTGACCTCTCATATTCAAAGGACCAGGAGAACACTTTAAAGCACTTTGAAGAGGTTCACACCTCTGCTTTCAAGCAACACCACACGGAAATTTCTTTTTTGACACAGATGCTCTATTCCTCCAGGAAAGTAGATGCTGAAACTTGGATGAGAAGGGAAACAACTTGGATTTTCCTTTGGGACATCATCTCTTCTGACTTTCAGGTTGAACCGCCACATGTCTCACTATGCTCTTCGGAGTCAGATCATGGCACACTGTAATAGCCTGAGAGCCCTCCTGGAGGATTTCCCTACTATCAGGGATACCTTTTTCATGGTGGGGCAACCACAAGAAAAGAAGGGATCAAGTGACTCCAAGGAGGGCCTCAAGGCTGACCCCGGGTATGTAAAATCAGAGACAAAGTAGAGTTTGTCTTTCCACTTCCAAGGCCCCACCTTTCTCCAGGAAGAGGTGTGTTTCGTATGAAAATATTTTGCTGCTATTGTTTGGATCTTAAGTGTGTTCCAAAGATCCAAGTATAAAGGCTTGCTTTCCAGTGTCGCCTGGGTCCTAGGCCATGGGGGTATGAGCCAAAATACCTGAGAAATACAACTTAGAAGGAAAGAATCATTTTGACTCACAGTTTCTGAGGTTTCAGTTCATGATCAGCCGGCTCCAAGGTATAAACATCATGGCAGAGGGCACAGCAGAGGAAGGCTCTCGTCTCATGGCAGCTACGAAGCAGAGACAGAAAGAGGGAGGGAGGAAGGGGCTGGGGATAAGATATTCTTTTCCAGGGCACTCCCCCAGTGACCTGCTTCCCCAACTGCCTCCCAATAATGACATCAAATTATCAGTTCATCAACAGATTAATCCGATAGTGAGGTCAGAGCCCTCAAGATCAACCACTTTCCAAGAGCTTCACCTCTGAACCTTGCTACACCRGGGACATGCCTTCAACATATGAGCCTTTGCAAATCCAAACTATAACAGGGATTTGCCCTTGAAAGGGATATGGAATCTTGATCTCCTCCTCTTTTTCTTTTGCTTCCTGGTCATGAGGTGAATAGTTTTTCTCCTCCAGGTGCTTCCAACAAGACTCACTGCCTCACCCAAATAATGGGGCCAACTGTTCATGGAACAAAACTTCTAGAACTGTTAAGCCCAAATAAACCTTTTCTATTTATAAGTTGTTTATCTTAGGTGCTTGTTACAGTAATGAAAATCTTACTGACACTTTTGCTCCTTTTACTGTACTTGACTTTGATAGTCTGGTCTAAAAGCACAAAAGAAAAAGTTTAGCATGCTAAGAAAAAAAAGCATTTTTGTATTTGAATCCAAAAGAAGTTCATTGTTTATGAGCTGTTTGACTGCTTTTTTAATCAGTATAGTTTTACTTTCTCCTGGGGAGCTCATTTTCATTAGTCACAACCATTTACATAGCTAGCATGTAAAATAAGTCAACAAAAAAGTAAGTTTGATTTTGAGCTGTCATAGATTCACATATTCTATAATAATAATATAATTATATAATAATAATCTAGAAGAAATATGCAGAAAAAAACAATGATATGCCAGTGCCTTGGACAAATTAAGTGTCCTGTTTTCTTCTGGTGAGACAGACATACAGATACAAATGTAGATATAGGTATAGTGACAGAGCACAGCTGCTTCATATATTCTTATAAGGCTTTATCTGGTTTTCTGAATGACTTTAACTCAGCCTGCTTAAGAGTTCACCCCCACCCCCTTCCTGGATGGAGGAGTTAGCATACCTGTGCAGTTAGTAACCTCATTTCCTTAAAAAAAAAAAAAAAAAAAAGGGTGTGTGTGTGTGTGTGTGTGTGTGTCTGTGTGTGTGTCTGTGTGTGTTATATAGTATACAGTCTCCAGGGAGAAGCAAACACACCCTATAGAGTAAGCTTAACCTCTGCTTCTGTTTCTGCTTCTGGAGTTTGAGTAAGAGGAATACAAAAATATGATCATGGAGAGTTTGAGTAAGAGGAATACAAAAATATGATCATGGACTGGACAGATAGAAGGGATTTAAGAGATCATTTGTATCAGATCACTCATTCACGCACTCATTCATTCATTCATGCATGCATGTGCTATTCAACTATCATTTATTCCGTGTTTACTTAAATGCCAGGCACTGGCATTTACAGGATAAGTCATTGGTTCTGGCAATAAATTCCATCTAGTTGGGAAAAGCTGTGTAAACAAACAAGTAACTCCAGAGATAACACATTAGAGGTGTGTACAAAGACCTATGAGGGAATGTTTAACTACTCAGGGCCTCTGGAGGAATTCAAAGAGGAATGGACAGGAATGTTGGAGTTCCCCAAGAAAATGAAATGGTAGAGGCTAGACTAGAATGAAAGAGGTTGAAATCCTCAAGCTCTTGACTGAATGACAGCTGACCAGCCAAACAGTGGCCGGGTCCATCTCCACACTTAAAAGGCGAATTAGTTTGTAGATAGCAGTGTTTTGTTCTATGAGCTCAGCCARTGCTTTCATTTGCATAGATTACAGGATTTACCTAATGGAAGAATGCATTTGAGAGAACTGTGGGGCAAAGATGCTATTTTTCTAAAGGGTTTGCCTGAATATCTGCTGCTCCGTAAGGTTGAAAAGCATTTTTGTCATGCAAAGTGTCATAGATAAATCCTTTAAGTGTTCTTAATTCCATTATTTTGTCGCCCTCTTACCTCATTGACCATTTATAAAGCTAATCTACATTTGAGATCAAACTTTTAAAGTTCTTTCCAGAAATCTAATCCACTGCATTTGTGATTATGATGAAATGGGTTAAGAAGCCTATTTTTGTTTTTGATGTGTTTAATTTGCAGCAACCAGATAAGAAGGTCAGGATGCAAAGAGGAGGAAAAATCTAACTTTTAGATCTTGCTCTATTTCTTTATTGTTTCTTGTAGGAGACTATGTTTTCTAAAGATTAAGGGAAACAGTYATCTACTCTGGAGAGCCTTGGTCCCTGAATTATCTGGTTGGTTGATGTGTGATAACATCAGGGTAGAACCTTGGGCCAGGAAGGTGTGAGCAAAATGGGTGACCAGTGGATGAGCTGTGACTGGTAGACTGTTTCTCCACKGAATCCCCTCCTTTTCCTAAACTCTCTGGATATATTAAACTCTCTTTTAATATACTCATTTATAGGAATATTTATATATAGGAATATTTATAGGAGTATAGAGAAAGGAACTTCTTTCTTATGTGAAACTTTGGTGAAAGTACGATTGGATTCTTTCTAACTTCARAGTCTGGTTCCATGCTCTGGGTACCTACTGATTTAAAAATAAATAAATAAACAAACAAATAAATATATTGTGTAATTATAACAAAATACCTGAGGCAGTCTAACTTTATTTTTTAAAGAAATTTATTTAGCTCAAGTTTTGGAGGGCACGACACCAACAGCACAGTTTTGGTGAGGGCCCTCTTGCAGCACCACATCATAGCAGGAGTACGTGTATGAGGAAGACCTTACATCAAAAAGCTCAAAAGCAGCAGGGCATGGTTGTGCATGCCTGTAATCCCAGCAGYTTGGGAGGTGAGGCAGAAGGATCACAAGTTGGAGGCTAGCTTCAACAATTTAGCAAGACCCTATCTCAAGATAAAAGAAAAATAAAAAGATTTGGGAATGTAGTTCAACGGTAGAGCACCCCAGGGTTAATCCCTAGTTCTCCACAATAGGAAATGAAGACAGAGAGAGACTGGGGCCCTATAATCCCTTCAGAGGTGATACCCTCAGCAGACCTAAGGACTTCCCACTAAACATCACCTCCCAGTAGTACCGCCCTGAGGACCAGGCCTCCAACACATGAACCCTTAGGGAAACATACTCAAACCATATCCAAATCATAGCTGTGAGTCACGAGAAGGTGTCCTCGTAGAGAAAACCACAGCCTGGAGTTAGAATATTTGGATTTTCCCCTAGTGTTGAACTGAGGTCTTAGGCAAATCACTTATCTCGAAACTTGGGACTTTGGTTTCTTTCAAGTGAGGACATTGAAGCAGTTCTCTGAAGTTAAACACATTAGGAATCTTAGTGCTAAGGTATGTAAAGGATGATTCCAAGAAATAGGACTGCTGAGGAAAGACTTTCCAAAAGGGGCCAGTTTCAAGACAGCTTGTAAAGTGATAAATGGGATCATTACAGCGAAGTTAACTAGAGATAAGGGACAGAGTTGAGAGCAAGGGTCATGGAGGAAAGAGGCCCTCATCTCATTCACAGAATAACAGATTGGGCTACATTGAAGAAAAGTAAGTTTTATTTGAAATGTCAGTTCCAACAATTTAGTGGCCCTGCTGAGGATTCTGAGACATTTCATGTTTGTGAGAGTGTGGTGATTGATTGGCAATGTCTGCTATGGTCCAGGAAAGGGAGAAAGGTAGCCTTCCTGTATGTGTTTGCCATCCCTGGAAGAGCTCCAGAAGTTCTGTAGATTTAAAATGCCAAGATGCAACTTAATGCCTGGAAGGTTGTAATGTACTGTATATGGTTTARCAGAGACTCTGCCCTAAACCAGAGCCCCTGTAGAGGAGGAGCCAGAGGGATCTCTGTTCTCAGAAGTCCCTCGAGGCTTCCTTTCCCTTCAAGACTTCAGAGGAGGCTACAATCAGAGGACTAGGATGACTCTCAGCCGCATTCCCAGGGGCATTAGCATTGGCTGCTAAAAGAGCAAAGAGAGCCCCCAGAGAGAACACTACTATTAATTGAACCCTTGCCATGTGACAAGCAGAGCTGCTGGCATCACATACAGCTACTTTGTGCAAATTAGAGGAAGACAGCCCTTCCTCTGGGGGCAGGTGTAGCTCCACACCAGGGTGCAGAGCCTGGCAGGAAAGGTACAGGCTGGGCTCTTGGCCACTGCTGGTTGCCTGGAGGCACAACACATGGCGATGTTGGTGCCAAGTGCTGTAGAACAATGTAATAGACAAGATCCTTGTCCAACAAGGGGAAAGAGACAGACAGCAACAGTGCACTGTGATAAAGAACAGAATAAAGTAAACGTTTAATGAAGGCATCACCAGGGAACAGGATTATCAGAAGGATTGGGGAAACAGGATGGGAACTAGGAGAGCTTCAGGGAAGAGGGCTGCTTAACCCAAGGCCTGAGGAATGATAAGCTGGAAGAGCTGCATGGATAAAGGCACAGAGATGTGAGATGGTCTGTGGACCTCAGTGTGGGGACGGCGATGGGAAGTGGGACAAGATCCAGAACACTGGTGTTTGTCCTTCAGGTCACAGTAAGAAGGGGAGCAGGATGATTATCAGTGGCACTACTTAGGAAGTTCCTGAAATTGGATTAACCAGGAGGCTTAGGAGGTGAAATCAGTGAGGCCAGGAGCCAGACTGATGAGGGAGGAAGGAGTCTAGCATTTCCCCCAGAGACTCTGGCTTGGGTGAATAAAAGGGTAGCAGTGCCATCATTGTTTAATAGGTACAGAGTTTCAGTTTGGCAAGATTTTTTTTTCAAGTTCTGGAGATGGATGTAGTATTGATGTGAATGTCCTTGGTACCATTGGACTATACACTCAAGAGTGGAAAATGGTAAAATGGCACTATATGAATTTTACCACAATTTTCTTTAAATGGGAAGCAAAGGGGATGAAGAGATAATAAATCACAGCTCGGAAGCTTCGGCTGTCAGTTTCTTCCCCCAATCTCCCAACAGTCCCAGGGGCTAACTATTCTGGATGCTCTCTGCTCCTTGGTCTATTTCTGTTGTGCCAGGTTCTACCATCGTGTCATGTTTGCACGTCCAGCTGTCTCTGGAATGTAAGATCCTTGAGGTGGTCTTTCATGTTATGTCCCAGGTCTGCCTCTGTGACTTTGACCCTGATGCAAAGGGAGGATGGGGAGTTGGGGAGGGGAGGGGTCAGAAGGGAGTGAAGGGAGTTCTAGCCAGTGGCCTTTAGTTCAATACCAAACTATGTCATCACTTACCGGCAGGAACTGGTTATGGGGCTGAAAGAAGACTTGGAATTATTGAACAAGGAAATTGGCATGACAACTGATCAAAGGGGGAAAAAAAAAAGGTTTGTCCCAGGGTGACATAGCTCAAGCTGGAAATCATTTTCTTGTTGGTGCATCAATATAATTAGTAGTGTGATTTCCTCCAGCTGTGTTTAGCAGTGTGCAAGTAGAAGCAGACAGTTGAGGAGTTGGAAGGACCCACAGTGGGGGCTTTGCTAGGTAGATGGGGTACGAGGATAAAGAAATAGAGAATCAAAGGTGCAGGCAAGAGAGTCGTTCATGTAGTTCATGGACGGTCAGATCCAGTCTGGGAAGGGAAGGGATTGAAGTCAGAAAAGAACTGACAACAGGAAAGGGAGGCCAGAGGACTGGGTGATGTCAAGGAGCATATTTTATGGGGATAAGGAGAGTTAATGGCACTGTATGAGGGAGAATGCTAGAAATGAAAGCTAAGGCTTTGGAAGTGAAATGGCTCCAGGTGATGATAAAGTCTAGGATGTGGCCCAGGAGTGGACAGCTGAGAGTCACTAAAGGTAATAGGGGACCATGTTGAGCAGGCCAGGTAGTCCATGGGCCAYTCACAAGGGGGAGGGGCAAGGCTCCCTGTGGGTCTGAGAGTCAGGCTACTTTCCCTGCACCAACCTCCTGAATCTTCTGCCATCTGCACTCTGCTCCCTCTCCCCCACAGTCCTGAGCAATTTCAATCACTCTGCTGACAGTAGCTAAGGTCCATTTGCCAATGACTTCTGAATCCCCACAGCTCCAGAGCTTCAAATGGCTTCGCCTTAGCTGGTAGTGCCTCAGACCAGCTCAGTCAAGAAAGGCAAGAACTGAGCTCCTCGCCTCTTCTGCCCCAATCCTGTGTCCATTGTGTTAAAGGACCACACAATTTCTAACCCCCATCCCCAAAGCCAGAGTCAGGGCATCGTTTGTAGATTCTTGCTTTTCCTTATTCCTTAGACCCTAGTGATCCCATTACTTAAGCCTCTTTCACATTTGTACTTAATTTCCATTCCATATCCATTGTCCATAGCCAGACTCAATGGGAGAGTCTCACCTTCTAGCGAGTACCTTGGAAATTGTAGGGACATTTGTTGCCTTGTCTGATAATTGCCTATGAGGAATAAAATTACTTCTGGGTCTCTTGGAGATATTCAGATGATCCTTCTCACTTATTGAAGAAAAATGTAGCTCATTTTAACTAAGTGCTGAATATTTTCAGTTTCAAATGTTCTGAAGATGAGAGTTGTTAGATCATTAAAACTCATCCTGAAACAAAGCATTGGCCTTATGTCTACCTTTCAAGTCTCAGGGTTTTAATCAGTTAACTCTCAGCTCAGGATAAAGAACAGTCTTAGTTTGGAGAATTCCTTTTCTCAATAATGACATTCAGATTATTCCAGTCCTGGAACAAATCAAATCCAGCTTAATCCAAAAGAAACATTGAATATCGAAATTAAGAAGCCCAAAGGTCTGAGTCTCAGCCCAGGGGCCTGCGGGCCTTGGGCTGGCTGCTGCAACCCAGAAGTGTGACTGGACTCAGTCTGTGGCCTTGCATCACCTTGCATCTCTGGAGCTGAGGGCCCTGCACCAAGTGCTCATCTGTTATTCCCCGCCACATCCACTGCTGACCTCTGGCGCCCTGGGTGGGGGCGGTGTGGGAGGGAGGGCCTCCACCCTCACTGCACCCTGCCTCAGCTGCTTGTCTCTGAGATGGCACTGGTCTCTGGTCCTGCTGCATACTCCTCAATTCTAGGCCATCCTCTCAATGCATTCAGGTCCCTAGTTCCTAGCCAGTTTCTCTGAGAGCTCCATGTGCGTCCCTTGGCTCCCATCCACCCCTGGCCACAGATGCCAGATACCCCCACATTAGCATAATCACAACAAACTTTGTAAAGCACCACTAACTACCTCTTTTTTTTTTTTTTTTTTTTGGTACCAGGGATTCCACCCAGGGGTGCTTACTTAACCAATGAGCCACATCCCCAGCCCTATTTATTTTTTGTTTAGACTTGATGGCACCAGAGCCATTCAAGTGGGTTTATCGGGGCTGCCTCACTTCTGAGATGACACAAAAACCAGGTCAGGAGACCACCTCCATCCTGGGGCTGTGGTATACAGTTCAAGAGCTTTCATCTGCATGAAAGTTGTAAGACAGGCAAAACCTAGCAAAATATCTCTTACTGGTGTGTCCATTTATGGTGAAACTACAAAGAACAGCAAGACACTCACTAATGTTCATGTCAGGTGGTTGCTCTGGGGACCAGCAGGGGGGTATTCAAGGATGCTAGGCTTGTGTGAATCCCTAGACATAGATGGATGGTGTGTTTGTGTGTAGGCCTGCAATGCTATAGAGACAGCAAAACTGCTGCCTAACAAGTGCTCAGTAGTTAGAGGAGAGCAGACAGGAGAAAGAAGAAAAGAAGACCAGTCGCTGGGGAACCTGGCAAGAAACATGATGGACAGATGTGCACTTAAATCCTAACTCCATCTCTTAGGAGCTGGGTAGGCAGGACCTCCCTAACCTCTCAAAGCCTCAATTTCCTCAGCTGTGAAATAGGAACAAAAATAGATCCATCGTAAGGTTGTCAGAAGCATCAAGGGACACAAAATGTGTTACACCCAGGATGGTGCCTGCGGTCTGATGCCTGCCCTTCCTTTCTTTTCTTACCACACCTTTCCCGCCCTCCATACCCACGCCTTCCTCCCACACAGCTCAGGCTAAAATCAGCCCAACTGCTCCTCTTCTGTTGAGTTGTTTATAAATAACTCTGGCCACTTGGGAGCCAGTGGACAAGGAGGCTGCTGCCTCGGGCTTGGACGCTGGGCCTGTGGTGACAGTCCTGTGTGGTCTGTGGGTGGTGGTCTGAACAGTTCAGGGTGCCTCTGGGTTAGAGGGAAATGCTCTGCTTTGGCTGCTTTCTTCTAATGCTACAGGAGTTCTCAGCCCTGGCCTCCATGTTTGCTGTCAGCGGATGGAAAAGTCCTCCTCAATTTATGGTACATCCCCCATCCTTCCGAAGTGCTGGTTATGTTCAAAACTCTGCCAGAAAAGGTTTGTATTATTTCGTGCACCAGAATGGAAACTGGCTGTTTTTTTGTTTTTTTAATGTCTCATGTGAAGCACATTAATTGGAGAGAACATTTCTTGTTTTTTTCAAAGACATCTAATAGAAATCTTTTCACGACTAATACTTCTGACTACTTTAATTTTTCTAGAACCTTTTTATTTCATGAATTCTCTTTAGCCCTGGTCATTAATGAATATTAATTCAGGTTTCTGACATTCCTTATTAATCCTCAATTTCCTCCCAAATCCTTGAGTAAAACCCCACCTTTATGCCCTGAAGCTAATGAAAGGTTGGGTTCACACAGTAACTCAGCTGCTTACTGTTTTTTGAGGGGTTGTTCTATATACCTCACTTACTGATAAGATAATAATATTGGTAATCATATAAAAAAAGAAGTAAATATAGAAACACATAACATGTAAGCATTTGCCAGATAAAAGTGCAATGATGGAAACGGCATTTCAGAAATATTTTTGATTTTTCTTTGTAAGTGAAACCCTGTTTAGAGAAAAGATCTATGTTTTGCTTACAGGTATTCACTCAGGACAATGTTATGAGTTTGTTTGTGAGCCTTATAATTCACTGATGGTCATACAAATACATTTTGATGTATTCATGGCCACCAGTAACATTAAACAAAAAGAAACAAATTTCTTTAACCCCTCACAGGGGGGCCCTTGTCCCAAAACATATAATCCTGGCTTATGAATAGGTTTATTGTTTTCTTTCTCAGATATTATCCTGTGTACACTGTGAAAATGTTTATTTAAATGCAGTGGGCCTTCTGGACCACAGGTTCTGCATCTGTGGATTCAAAAATTCAACCAAGAACTAATAAAAAAATATTCTTGTTCATGTGTACTAAAACATATAGTTTTTCTTTCTTGTCCTGATTCCCTGGATGACACAGCATAACTACTTACATAGCATTTAGATTGTATTAGGTACTATAAGTATTCTAGAGATGATTTAGAATTTATGGGAGCATGTACTTGGGTTATATGTGAATACTGCTCCATTTTTATAAGGAACTTGAGCATCTGCACATTATGGTACCCACAGGGGCCCTAGAATCAATCCCCTGTGGATTCTGGGGGTTGACTGCATGCATCTCGTTTAAAGATACTGTTCCCATCATACTCAAATATTTTATATGCCTCTTAGAAACTTCCTGAAACTTCTTTTCTTGTGCTGATTTTCCCCACAGGAAGCTTTTAGAGCCTTAACGCTAACACTACAGCTGATGGCTTCCTTCCATGACATTGTGGCCTACCTTTTCAGTTTTGTTCAACTCGGCAATTGTCCAGCAGGCTTTGAATTTCCTGTAAGCCCTGATCCTTTGAGGGGAGACTGGGGAGGAACAGAGGACATTGGTAAGTGATAAATGATGGTTAAAATCACCTTCAATATTCAGTTGGAATTCTGCAATGCTCTTAATACTTGGAAAGACAGAACCATAACATTTTTCTCACAAACAGCAATGATAAGAAAGGGCAAAGGAAAAGTCCCCTTATATACTGTCTCCACACTCACATTCACCTGATGAAGCCCACATCTATGAGCTAAGCCATAGAGCATACGAAGTCAGGAGGTGGCTCAGGTTTGCACCCTGCCTCTGCTAATGATTACTTTACTCCCTGGGTCTCTGTTTATCCATCTATAAAATGGGGTGATAATGCCTGTCTCATAGAGATATTCTCTGGATTGAAGTCTATAACATTCTAGAAGGATGTATAAGGTTGTAGTAAAGATGAGTTTTGTCTCATTCTCTTTTCCTTCCTGTTCTTTGTGAACTCACAGTGAACTCACAGGTCAGAGCCAAGCACTCATCAGTTAAGAAGCTTGCTGACAGCCCCAGATAGTGAACAACCACCTGATAGTTCTGTGATAAGAATGATTGAGGCTGTAGTGTCATATGTCCTGCTAATCAGTGAACTCTAATTCCGCACCAGGTTATAAAATGTAGTATCTTACTAGGATGCTAAGATATTACAAAATAGCATCTTGTAAGTGGGGTTTACCAGAAGCAGAGAAATATTAATCAATTAACAGCAGAATACTATTACATAGTATAGGTAGAGAAAGGCCTAAGAAATGAGGTAATAGGCCTATTTAAACCTAGTGTTTTTAAAACAAGTGTAATATAATCTGATTTTATTCCCCTTTGTGCAACACAAAAAAATATGGTCAACCATGGAGCTGGTGGCTGGTAGATCTGCATTGTGCTAACAGACAACAGACTTTGTAAACATTGTCACGTGGGACACAGAGAAGGACATAAGTGGTGACCTGAGAAGAAGATGGACACCCATCTGAGGAGAGGCAGCAAGAAGAGGGGTGGCAAACAAGGGTGGGTGGCATTGGTGTCACCTCAGCAGAAGACACAGAATTGTTGCAGACTGATAAGCTCTCAAAAGAACTAGCAAGTCTTTGAGATAAGCATCAAAAGATTAGAAAGTTTCCAAAGCACTCCAGATCTTTTCCTACTACTGTGGTTCTGTTACCCTCTTAGGGACTTTCTGGGAGGCTGTGTGGGCTGGGCCTCCCATAAGGGATAGGAGAAAGGAAGTGGGCCACAAAAAAAAAAAAAAAGTCCTTCCTGCCCTGCAGATGGGAGGCCATAATTACATGGAGATAAGATAGAAGCAGAGAGAGCCAGGATCTTGTTTCCAAGTGAAGTCCCAGCACAGGAAGTCCTGGAGCAGCTGGGAGCAAGGAGTGCCCAAGCAGATCCTGTAGGAAGATGATCTGGGGACCTTTGTCCCAACCTGTGGAGGAGTTGACTTGGATCAGAGGAGAAAACAGGAGGGACAGTCCCAGCAAGAGAAGGAAAGGACTCAGGCCAAGGTGGCAGGCAGGACTGCTCATGGCAAGTGAGCCTTCTGGGCCACCAGTATCCAGTGTTTGGACTTCAGGATGAGGGAGATTGTTCTCTTGTGCTGACATGCTGTAAACCTGGAAATCATGGAGATATGCGGGGCTCAGGCTCTGCAAGATGTGCAATTAGAGATGCGCACCTTGGCATGTTCAAAGTAAAAGTGTTCGTGCTCCAGGAAAAACGTTCAAAGTTGTGCATGCTCTGATTTGCTAAAAATAGATAAAGTGCATATTGAATTGAATTAGAGAGAGAGAGAGAGAGAGAGAGAGAGAGAGAGAGAGAGAGAGAGATCCCATACCAAGATAATCATCTTTTTAAAAAGGCTGAGCTAATTAGTTCCTGGCCTGATTCCCAGGCAGGGAGAATGAAGGTAAAAGATGAAGTGAGAATCTGTTCCTTTTCAGAGCTATTTGGAGGTAGATAAAATGACTTTTATGGACATGAATGCTTTAAAATATTTCTTAAAGGGATACTCAGGATTTTATCTTTTGGTCCTCTGAAAGAAGCAACTTTTAGATGCTGTGGACCACTGTGGATCCTGCCAAATTCTCTCCTTCACTGAAAGCCAGCAACTCCTTTTGGAGTCAGTGTGAAACAGGATGTAATCAGAATGTGGGAGTTGACACTGAGATTTCTTTGTAAAGGATTAGAAGGCCAATTAGAGCCCACATAGGACACACTGAATTTAGAATTTCAGGAACTCTCAAGATAAACCAGGAACAAAGAACACTGGACTCTGAGTCTTCATGGAATGACAGGGATACTGTGATTGCCCAGGCTGGCTTCAAATTTGAGATCCTCCTGCCTCAGCCTCCTGAGTTGTAGGGATTACAGGTGTGTGCCACCACACCTGGCTCACAGTGAATATTTTAAAATCAGTATATAACCAAGGAAAGGTATTCGTATTCCCACATCCCCAATTGTATTTTAATGATAATTCCACATATCAGCTAAAAAAAAAAGCAAGTTTTTATAACTATTTTGCTGAGAGTGATCACATGCAAAAGGGTATAAACAGCACAATAGTGGAAATGGTAAGAGGAAAATCACCTATCATCCATCCAATCTCACAAGCAAAATATTTTTATTTCTCTTCACTCCCACCTAGCCCTTGCTCAAATATATTTTACTTTTACATATTATAGCATTTTAAAGCATGTGCAATTTTATATTCTTCTTTTCTCAGTGTCACTCTAGAGGATTATAACTGTTTCCCCCTGGTCACCGTTTAGTCTGACAAGAGTATATATTTCTTATAAACCAAACACACTAGGCCCTGAGCAAATGAGGCTCACCTCAACAGTGACCACCAGGAGTGGGTCAACAAATGACCTCCCCTCCTCCCACCAACTCCCACAAAAGTTCTTGCACAATTTTCTCTAATGCCACTCTTCTTCTGGTAGACACTTCTATTCAGCCCAATAGGACCATCAGATTTAGAGGAATCATAAGAAAAATCTGATGCTTGGATTCAATTATTTGGTGGCTGGAAAAACAACAACAACAACAACAACAACCCTAAAATCATTTTTCTGTTGTGTGTAAAATACCAAATGGATATGAAATCTATAGTGCTCATCTTTTCCTACAGCCAAGAGAATGCATTGCAAGTATCAGTGACAGTTCTCAGCCCTGGATCTGCCCAGATTGAGCCACCATAGAGAGCTTCCTCATACCCACAGTCCTCCACTCTCCTAGTGGGTAAAAGCAGGAAGAGACCCAGTACCCATCAGGTTAGGAACATGGCGGCTTGGGTCTGGATGAGCTGCCAAGGTAGGGCAACTCCAGCAGGGCCTTGTGGGTCTTCCCTGTTACTCCTGCTTTCAGCTGCCTACTGGGGATAGTGATCAATTTCCTCAGTCCTTCTTCCCATTACAGGGATGTCCTGTCAGGGTAGAGAGCTATCACTCTCCTCACAGRGAGTTGACAGCATTTTATATCAACTGACATTCTGGTAGCCCTGCAAGTGTGGACCGCCCCAAAGAGCTCATTATTTTTTTCTGTGTTCTCCCAATCTGTCTGGTCAGCTCTTTCCCTGTGCCAATGTCAGAAATCCCCAGATGCAGGCCAGGTTCCTCACTTGGCACTGAGTGTTCCAAAGGGCCCTTAAGCTAAACTTCCATCTAAAATATATATGGACGTATTTATATGGAGCCTACTCTTGTAGTAGCCAAGTAGAGGTCTTCCACACCTATTCCTAAAATGGCTAGAATCCCCTAGAAAGGTATGTATGTGTGTCTGTATATATGTGTATATGTATATATGCATATTTTTCTTTCTTGCTTTGAATGGCTTTGAGTCTTTTTTAGTCCATGAGCTAGTGACTGAGAAGGCTGATTTGGATAAAATGGCAATGAAAATAAGAGCTAGTTTATAATTTATAATAATTTCAAGTTCCTGATGGATATACTGAGGACTGTACTTTCCCATTGCTTGTAATTTCTCTTTTTCATTCTATTTTGAGACCATAGGCTAGTAAGTTTTAAACTTTCTTTCAGCAGCACGTTCTTACTGTGCTAAAAAGCAAAGCAAGTTTTTATCTTTCCAAGGGAGGGAGGAAGGAAGGAAAGATAAATGAGACCTTAGGTTCTAGAGCACAATGCTTTGCTGACCTTGCAAAACATATAATTAGTACATCCACCAACAAAGAAAGGGAAGGCTGTTCAGGTGACAGGTTAACTTTGGGGAGTAAAATGAAGGTTCCCTAGGTTAGCAGTGGTAGCCTATATTTCATACTGACTCAAACGTCCATCATCTAGGGTCTGAGCTTCAAGAGCTGCAGAAAATGCTTGACAGCCTCAAGAGCCCCCAGGACCCGACCCAGGTGGCCCAGGCCCTCCTCCTCCGCAGGGATGTTATGTTTCTGCAATTCGATGCTGCAGTGAGGCATCTCATCCGGTAAGGGCTGGAGGGCTATTCTGGCCTAGTAACTTCTGCTGGGCAGGTGTTTGCCGAGTGACTATCTAGGGAGGACTCCCTTGGCAAGATTAGATAATGAGCTTAAAATAGCCTGGGGTGCAACCAGATCCAGAATGCTTGCTACAAAACGTGTCCTGCTGTGAAGGCTGTCCCTGCAGAATGTGTTTTAATTTTCTTCTTCTTCTTCTTCTTTTTTTCTTTGGTACCAGGAATTGAACCACCAAGCCACATCCCAGCCCTTTTTAAAATATTTTTTTTATTAGAGACAAGGTCTCGCTGAGTTACTTATGGCCTTGCTAAGTTGCTGAGGCTGGGTTTGAACTCACAATCCTCCTGCCTCAGCCCCCTGAGTTGCTGGGATTACAGGTGTGCGCCACCATGCCAGGCTTAATAATCTTTTTTTTCTTTGTTCTTTTTAGATATATATGACTATAGAATATATTTTGACATATTATACATACATGAAGCTTCATTCAAATTCTTGTAGTTGTACGTGACGTGGAGTTTCACTGGTGTTGTATTTTGATTTTATTAAACTTAATTCCAAGGCAGTTTATATAACAACTCCTTTCACTGTTCAGGTTGTTGTATTGGGAGTAAAATTTTTGTACTTCTGAAGATTATTTCTAAGAGTCTTATTTAGTTTTTCCGACTTTTATTTACCTTTCAAAGGGACAGAATTTTCACTGCACTTCTGAAGTTAATGGAATTAAATTTATAAGTAAATACATCTACTTCTGTTCTTGTAGTAACTATCCTGTTAAGTACTCTGAATTTTTTTTAAAAAAAGAATCTTTTATATGTCTCCTTAATCATAATTCTGATGAACTTTGGATTGAGTTTAGATAAAGATTTACAATGTTTTTAGGTTAAATTTTATATGGGAGGGGAAGAGATTCGGACCTGAGCATTTCTGCTCATTCTTTCTTTTCTTTTCTTTTTTTTTTTAATATTTTTTTAGTTGTTGATAGACCTTTATTTCATTTAATTATTTGTGGTGCTGAGAATTGAACCCAGTGCCTCACACATGCCAGGCAAGTGTGCTACCGATGAGTCACTGCCCTAGCCCTCTGCTTATTCTTAAATCGTCAAAATTTATTAACTTCTTTTGATTAATTCCCCCATGTGAGTATTGAGGGGCTCTGCCCATGGATTACAACTGTTTCCCGTCATTAGCATTGGGCATCCAACAAGAATGGAAATGTGACAATTATACTGAATGAACTATATTTTTTCTGCTGCTTTTTTTTTTTTTCTTCTTTTTACTCTGTCAGAGAATTTGTATTTAGGATGTAAATTCAGCAGGACCAAAAAAAAAAATAAAATCACATGAATGTCTCCATATTAACAAACAGCTCCTGAGCTGCAGCTTAGTGAAGCAGGTAGACTTCACTAAAGGAGAGCCCATTCCATAGGCCAAGGTCAACCTTTGTAAGGGATTTAGTTATGGTGAAGAAACAGAAATATCCCCCCAGAAGTCCTGCTTGGGTTCTAGCCTCAGAGGAATCATTCTGGTCCTCTATTCCCAAGGGAGCCATTCTGTCCCGTACCATTGCTTTGCCAGGGCTTGCTCTGTCCTGGCACACTCCTTCCACAGAAATGGAGGGCACTGGGTCCTGTATCTTTTTCCAGCATCTTTCAGAGGGAACCACCCAGGCGGCACACATACCCCTGTGGGCCCTCATTTGTTGCATTTCCCTGACCTCCTTCTTTAGAGCTCTTGGGGTTGTGTTTGGAATTGCACAGCCAGGAAGCAGCAGGTGACCATTAGAACCTTAGGGTGTTTCCCTCCAAAGCCTGAGAACTAAGCTGGATTCTGAGCAGCGGCCTGAGTAGAAAAGGGGACTCCAAAAAGAAGGCAGGAAACAGAAGAGAAAGAAAAGCAGAAAGATAAATGTCATCACTCTGGGTCATTTTACTTAGCACTGATCCTGCAAACAAGGGAAAGTCCTTAAACAATCAAAAGAAGATTAGAAGCTTGGGGAAGTTCCCTGGCCCTCCCCAGAGCTCAGCAAGACTGAGCAAATAAGACTGTTTGCCTGAGGAACTTTCTGCCTATGTAAGCTGACGTCTTTAGAGTTTTAAAAGAACTGAACTCTTACCTCGAATGAGAACAACACATGCTTCCATGGATTTGGGGCGGGAGAGGAAAGAGGATATGACTCAAGGACAAAAGGACAACAGCCCTGTAGAGTCACCAAAAATCTGACTCTCATTTCTCTCAACTCTATTGAGTTGCCCAATGGACACGTGTTTCCAAGCACAAAACACTTCACACTTCCCCTGTGGACCTGCTCTCTGCCAGCTTGGGCAAAGGTCTGATGAAAATTCATCCTATCCACTAATGGGTTGGAATCCCACTGCCCAGGGCTCATCATTGACTTCTGAGCAGGATCACCAACCTGCAGGGGTATTTATTAGCTAATTCAAGAAATGCCTGAGGGTTGAGCTGATCTGTGATGCCAGGGAAATGGTTGAAGGGAAATGCTAGGATAGTGCTGCAGTTCTAACCAGTCTCATTTATTTAGGTCAGGAATTGAAAAAACCAGTGCCATAGTTTCCTGCCTGTTTTTGCATGGCCTGTAGGTTAAAGATGGCTTTGACATGCTTAAATGGTTGGAAAAAAATAAGTAAGAAAATGATATTTATGACACATGAAAATTATATGGATTTCATACACCATGTCCATATGTGAATTTTCACTGGAATAAAGCCATGCCCATTTATCTGTGGGTTGTCTCTACTTTGCCACTACAATCACAGAGTTGAATAGTTGTGGTGAAGACCATAGGGTCCACCACAAAGCCAGAAGTATTTATTATTTGGACCTTTGAACAAAAATTTGCCATTCTCTGACTTAAAGGATGGAATTCCTTTGCAATTCAGGAATAGAGGGAGGAGAAAAATTCCTTCAAAGTTACCCATAGAACAGAATTAAATATGTGGCATGGATAGTGCCTCTGGTCAGAATGTACTGCTGATGTTCTGAGTGATTAAAGGAAGAAGGAAAAACTGAACAAACCCTGAAGGCGTTCTCACTTCCTGCAGCAAGCCCAGCTCTGGAAGGCCTCAAGGGCAAGCCACAGAGTAGCACAAGCCTCTCAGTCCTGAACTGTTGGCTGGTTTCTCTTTTTTTTTTTTTTTTTTAATTTATTCTTATTTTCATGCTTGCCTAGTTGAAGTGTCTCTAAACACTTAGGATGCTAAATTGTGTCTCTGGGTCATCTGGGAGTTTCTGGGAGACATGCAGAAGGCCTCCGGGGAGCTAGGTCTAGCTCTTGGCCTTGGCCACAGTCTCCAGTATCTAAGAACCAAAGAGCCATAACTTTTCCTGGCTTTCTCAGCACCATTCTGCAGGTTGTACTGTATCTTTGCCTCCAGGAAAACTCCAGCATGTGCCCCATGAGTTAGCTGTTCCTATGGCCTGAACCAGCCTGCCTGAGATCACACTGTGGGGGGCTGTCACACAGGAGCCAGTTGGTAGTTGTCCCTCTACTGCTTAGGGACAGTATGGGGAATTCAGGGATTTTAGTGAGCTGTGGGGAAACCTGGCTTTACTAAAGCCTGGCGGTGGCAGGTGCACAAGCAGAAAGCCAGCCCTTCATTCCTATGGCTTCCCATAGCATCCTGGGTGCTGCCGCCACACTGCACTGGTTAGACCCCACCCACAGAAGATGCAGGTCAGGGTTCACCAACTGAGGGTCTTAGTGGGTTATCACAATGTCTTGTGAGTATTATCATTTTTTTCTCAAGGAAAAAGACATATTTACCTAAAAGTTCTGTGGGTAAAGAAAATGTCACAATCTTTTTATTTTTATTTATTTTTAACTGGAATCATAAGAACATCATGAGATAAGGGAATGCAAAGACTTGGCTTTAGTTTAGTTACTACTGTGTGCCAATCTTGTACAAATGAATTATTTTATCTGTTTTTACAGATGAGGAGATAGAAATTCAGAAAAGTTGCCTAACTTGCCCAGGGTCACACACACAGCTTGTTGTGGTCGAATTTGTATTCTTGTAGTCTGTGTGACTCCATAGCCCTGTGTCTTCCTTCATATCATATTTCTTTATCCCTTCCTGCAGCTCAGAGCTTGGGCTGGAGATTGACATAAATTGACTTAAAAGTAGGAAAATACTTAATAGATGTTTGGTGGAAAACCTTTCAATAGAGAGGGAAGACAACAAAAAGGATGTAGTACTAAAGATGTTAATTATCATCTTGCTATTCCTTTATGTAGCATCACATTGTACAGTTCTCAAATAAGCAGTTCTAGTAGAGTGGGGGTGAATCTTAGGAAGGATCATGATAAGAATTGAGAGAGCAAGGAAGAATAATTCACTATTTGATCAATAGTGTTGCCTATAATCTGGCTTGAGTCTTTCTAGAGAGTGCATCATACTTGATTCTGTAGCTCAGAATGACAGACACACTCATATCTGAACTGTATTGATAGTTTTTCTAATAATCTCCAAGCATCTATGTGTTAATAGACCTAATGTATTAGTTCATTTTTATTGCTATATTGAAATACCTTAAGTTAGATATTTTATAAAGAAAAAAAAGGTTTATGTAGCTTATAGTTCTGGAGGCTCAAGGGCATGACATCAGCTTCTACTTGGTTTTGGTGAAGCCCTTGTTGTGCATGGTATCACAGTGACAGGAGAGATCACATCAGTAAACAGGAAGTCAGAGAAAAAGTATGTTAATGCCTTCAGAAGACATACTGCAATGACCTAATGACCTCCCACTAGGCCCACTTCTCAAAGGTCCTACCATCTCTTTTCATTGCCACACTGGGGCCCAAACTTCCAACACTGAAACTTTGGGGGACACAGTTAAACCAAATCCAAACCATTTCAGCTCGTATGAGCACAAAGCTGTGCCTGAGGCTCTAGATTTCTGCCAAGAATTGTGATCACTTCTGGCAATTGTTCATTTAAAAGTTCTGAACAAATTTTCTAGGATAAGAGAGCACGTCAAAGAATAAGCAAGTAAGATGTGAACAGAGGACCCAGGGGAAGCTGGGACAGAGAGAAGGCTGTGGATTGGTGGCAGAGGCGAACAGGAATGACATGAGAGGAGCCATGTGGGGAGAGGTTGTGCCAGGATACTCTGCTTCTGTGCTCTTGATGTGAGCTGAAAATGCCTGTTTCTGTTAGAATGTTTTTGGATGCCATCATTTTAAGCAAGCATACACACTGAGAGGTGTGCGTGTACCAAGTGCATTGGGAGTTTAGCGGGAGGTCTAAACCAATTTGGTAGCTGCATTTGGTACAYGCAGCTCTGCCTCACTGGGTTCTATTGGGCTGGAAGGTCAGAGCCTGTGTGGGACTCTTGCTTACATCTCAAACAGTCCCCAGCACAGCACCTTGACACCGGGTGCTTGATAGACCAGTCACATGGGTGTTGAGTAAATCATGGGTTCCTCAGCAGGGCCCATTGAGTATGAAGAGAAAAGAAGCAGAAGAAAATGTTTATATATCCTTTGGGCAACTCCAAGGTCCATCTCTGAGCTATCATGATAAATCAGTAGGTTTAGGGCCGGGGATATAGTTCAGTGGCAAAGCACATGAACTGCACACAGCCTTTGCATGCATAAGGCTGTGGGTTCAATCCCTAGCAAACCTCCCCGCAAAAATCACAAATCAGTAGTTTTATCCATTGTCTCAGTACTCAGATATTTATTATTAATACTCATTAACATATAAAAAGAGTTTTTACACTAGTGTGATTGTTTAGTGTGCAAATAAAGAGCTCCTTTCATTTGCCTTTGAAGTCTCTACTTCTGCTGATGGCAAAAACATGAAACTTGTCAGTACCATGTCATTGAGTCATGGTTGAAAATTAAAAGTGGCCATCTTGAGATTTAAAATCAGTTGATTCAAAGTTCTTCCCTGCTTCTTTTGTTTTAATGGCCTCCTACTCACCTGTTGGTGAGGGAAGCTTCTTCCCTGTGGTAATGGCCAAACAGGAGACACCCAAGAGTGGGCAGGGGAGATGGACGGCAGTTTATCAGGCATGTGTACCCACCGCCCAGGAACAGAGGCCCTGTAGGCCACACAGGGCCACAGAGTGAATGGGCAGGGCCTGTGGGAGGCAGGCTCTGGAGCTTCCAGAGGGTGTGGTGCTCCCTGGTTCCCACAGGAGGCTTTGATTGGTTTGTTCCAGTAATTCCACACGCTGGCAGGAAACCGAAACTGCTACTGGGGGGAGGGGGGATAAGCAGGAGGTGCACCTGGTGCCTTTGATAAGGAGGGCTATTGGACAAGGGGGACTTTCTGCTGGGTGCAGAATGGGAGGGGACCTTGTGGTTAGACCATTTGAGGCCCTTCTGACTTGCCAGATGTCAAGGTAGCAGGTAATATTGGACCTTAATTATAGGCTGCCTCACGCCATACCCTTCTCCTTCTTCATTTCCCCTCAAAGGTGATCTGAGTTCTTGGGGCTGCTTATAAGTCATCCTGGCAGTTGGGGAGAAGGAGCTACATCGCCCATCTCTGTGTGTGTCAGCTGGTCCGCTCTCAGACTCTTCTGTTGGCCTACTGTTCAGCGCTCTTCCTGGACACCCATTATGAGGGGCTCAGGCACTCCCAAGTTCTTTCCCCCACACTCTGAGGGTCTGTAGTCTCTAGAAGCCACCTCACTTCCATCAGCACTGACACCTCCCTGGGGAATTGCTAATCTCCTTTTTTTTTTTTTTTTTTTTTTCTTTTTGGTGTTTGCTGTCTGTGAGACTTGGGCCATGCTCATGGAGGATCCAGGCAATAGGTCCTTTGTGCTCTGGGGTACCCTCCCCCAGCCCACCCTGAGTCAGCACTTTTCTTAGGCATCCACTAGAAACTCTAGAAACAGTCTTTCCTTCCTTGCTAAACTCTTATTTCCTTTTGGGCAAGAAAATAATCCTAATTTATCATGCATACTTCCTTACTTTATTTGATTTACACTTATGGTATAAATTTCATGCTCTTGGCTCCAGGGTTTGTGGTTCTTGATACACAAAGCCAAGTTTTGTCTAAAACAAAACAAAAACCTTTCTCTCCATAACCCCTGACTTTGTTTATTTGGTTTAAAATTTGATTTTACATATCAAGAATTGTTGTCTCAGCTATTGGTCTTAAAATAGTTTAACAAACACTCTGATATTTTTGTTCTAGAGCCGAAGGTATACTGTCCAATTTGGTAGCTGCATGTGGTTATTTAATTAAAATTAATATTAATTTAAATGAAATAAAAGTTAAAATTTAATCCCTCGGTCACAGCAGTCACATTTCAAGTGTTCAATAGCCACCTGTGGAAGTATATTGGACAGTACAGATCTAGAACGTTACCACTGTAGAAAGTTCTATCCAACAGTCTAGATGCATCAAGCTCTCCCTGTAGGCTGTGATCTCTGTGAATGAAGGGTGGTGTGTGAAGGGGTGCAGGGGGTGATGTGGCTGAGGAAGAAACCTGTTACTGTCTCCCACCTTGTCTTGCTACAGTAGCTTTGAAGAAACTTTGAGCTTTAGGAGATTTGGTAATCGTTTTCAATGAAATGTCCCCCCATGTCTTGTTAGAAGAACATTTTTGGCAGCTGGAAATATTCCCGCCTACCAGTCTGTCACTGATGGCATGTGCCATGGGCTGCCACCTCTGAGCAACTCTCTCAGGAAGAGCATTTTTGCTTCACAGCTCAGCCTGCCCCAGCTGCTGGATCCACGGAGCCTCCAGGTATGTTTTAGAGGTGTTTTATACCTATAAGAAAGAGGTACATTGTTAGCTGGGGATTTTGTCACTTTGTTTCCGTTTGGTTTAAATTTTGCAGGAGTCTGGATTCTTTAAAGCCCTTCAGTCTCTGCTGGTGCCCTTTTACTGGCCCAGTGGAGCAGTGTGGGTCTACATGGCCAGCTGTTTTTCCCAGTCTGGGTCTTTTCTGCAAATGCTCAAAAAAGCAAGACCTCATCTTCTCATAGTTCGTAGCAAAATAAATAATCTTACCCATTAAATAAATGATAGAAATTATGGTACATTAATTGGGTCAACAGCTGAGTTTTGAATAGCTCTTGTTACAACAAATGTTATCAAATGTCACCCTGACAACTGGGATTGCTTTTAGACAGGAACAACAGTATCCTCCCACTCCTAAAAGGGTCAAGGCTTAGGAAAGCTGGATATTAGACTACTGAAGAGTCAGGGCAACACCAAGTTACAAACTATATTACTTATCTATTGCTGCAGAACAATGCATCCTCCAAGTTTAACAGGTTAAAACAATAAACATTCATTCATTATCTCACATAGTTTCCGAGGGTCAGGAAGTGGGAGAAGCTTAGGTGGGTCCTTCTGGCTCAGAGATTCTTACAAGCTGCCATCGAGATGTTGCCAATATCGCAGGGTGCAACTGGAAGAGTATCTGCTTCCAAGTTCACTCATATGGCTGTTGGTAGACAGGTCAGAAGATCCACTCCCATGCTTACTCACGTGAACTTCTCTACAAGGCTTTCTCACAACATGGCAGACAGCTTCCCCAGAGCGAACCCTCCGAGAGGGAGTAAGAGCCTTTCTATTACCTAATTTCAGAAGTGACATCTTATCACTTCTCCCATATTCCATTCACTAAAAGTGAGCCAGTAAGTCCAATCACACCCCAGGAGAGAGAAATTAAGGCCCATCTCTTGATGGGAAAACTATCAAAGAATTTGTGGATATATCTTTAAAATCACCTCTCAAACCCAGGATTTTTACTTGAAAAAATCTAATACTTAATGTTTTGACATTATATGCATTAAACATAAATGATGCCCACATCATCCCCAAGCAGGTACCATCCTTCTAAGCTACGAGATAGTGATTCTCCGTCCAATCTTTGATCCTCACTTAGATCTAGAAGACAGAGTTAGACCTTGACCACGGGGACCACTCTGGTTGCCTTTGGGTGTTATCTAGGATGAAGTGGATGCAGTGTCCTGTCCTTGCTACCAGAATCAGTTATAGCTCTGGGAATTGACAGAAGTCAGAAGCAGGTCTAGAAGTGTAGAATGGGGTTACATAGGTAGGGCCGCTGGATCCAGGGCCACACATGATGTCATAGGGGATAGGCAATGCCTTGGCTGTTGTCCTGTGATGTGGAGAAGACAGAGACCCCTGGGTGATAAGTTGTGACATCAGTCTTGAGTTGATATCTAAAATTAGAGCACAATAATGAGGAGGCCCACTTTTTAAGATTCCTAATATTGAGAGCATTTAAGCAAGTTTATTTTTGTTGATTATAAATAGGTCCATTGGTGCTATGCTATTATGGAACTTCTGAACAGCAGTGTTGACTAGTTACACTGAAACCATCTGCTGCAAAAATAATTAAAAATAATTATTATTACTCCCTCCTCTACATCATCAAACATTCTCCACCAAGAAGTATTTCTACATAATAAATGAATCATCCAACAGTGTGTTGGAGTACAAATGCAGAAATCTTGTTCATAAACAGATGTCTTTAACTTAGAGTTACAGAACAGCTTTACCATGTCTATTATTTGGTTCTTTTAGGCATCTGTGCTATTCCCCTGGAGAACATTTCTGGAAGATGGAGGACCATTTCCTGTTATAAGTAGTAGCCCAGATACCCTAGAGTATAATATGCAGGTAGGTATATCTTCCAACTTGTTGGAAAGAGAACAGTAAGCAGACTGAGAGGCAGGGTGTCAGTAGGTCCACAGGTCAGAGCCTCCGTATTCTAGCCAGTGGTGAATAATTTATGAGATAAGTAGGTGCTTAATTATGAAGCCATAAACCTGATCCTGCAAGGTGAGTCATATTTTTTTCCTGTGGAAGAGAATCATGTTCTCAGCAGATACTGACCTTGGTTGTAGACTCAGCTGAAGTTCCCATGGCAGCAATGACCCAGAGGAGTGGCCATCCATCACTACCCACTGTCTGGGCCTCTTAGAGAAACTGCCAGGCTGGCAACTCAGAGGCGTGTGAGTTGACCTGTCTAGTGAGAAGGGCATTTTTTTAGGCAGGAGTCATACGGAAAATTTCTTTTAATTGTTTTGTTTTTCATTGTTAACTTCTTTTAATTATTTTAAATTATTAGTTTCCTTTAATCATCGCATGTTTTCTCATTATCTAAGTAAATATTGGGTTGTTTGTTGGTTTTTTTTGTTTTTTGTTTTTTGTTTTTTTTTGCATCAGGGATTGAACTCAGGGGCTCTCAAGCACTAAGCCACATCCCCAGCCCTATTTTGTATTTTATTTAGAGACAGGGTCTCACTGAGTTGCTTTAGTGCCTCACTGTTGCTGAGGCTGGCTTTGAACTTGTGATCCTCCTGCCTCAGCCTCCCAAGCTGCTAGGATTACAGGCGTGCACCACCTTGCCCAGCTGTATTTTTAGTTTTAAAAATATAGAAAAGAGCTACTCAGGAGGTAGAGGTAGGAGGAGGATTGCAAGTTCAAGACCAGCTTTGTCAATTTAGTGAGACCATGTCCCAAAATAAAATTTGAAAAATAGTCTGGGGATGTAGTTCAATGGTAAAATATTAGCCTATACACTTTTGATCCTTGGAGATGTGTGTGTGTGTGTGTGTGTGTGTGTATTCAACCCGAGCGTGTGTGTGTGTGTGTGTGTGTGTGTATTCAACCATAACCTTTCTTCAAAATATGGTGTGGAGAGTGAATGGGATGGGTCAGGAGTGGCTTTAAGTCGATGGTTGTGGGGCCAGGTGATGGGAACTATTTTGTTTGCTTATACATTCAAAATTCCTAATAAGTATAAAGGTTTTTAATACACCAAAAGTAAGAATGGTTGAAAAATTATAATTCTAACAGTCAGACAATTGCAGTTCACAATTTGAGGTTTTCCCTCCCCACAGTACTTTTTTCTTGTATGTGTAGTTTTAAAGGAAAATCAGTATCACACTATGCATTTGCCATATACAGATCTGCTGTAAGGACTGGGAAACTTGATACTTCTGCACAGAGCCAAATGTCTGATATGTTCAAGCAGGACAGGACTTTAAGCTACAAGTGTTTTGTTTTTTATGGATTTTCTAATAGTTGAAAAGATAGCTTATGAACACCTACTTTTCTTCCCCAAAACCACATGTGAAGTTTATATAGAAGCCTTCAAAATGGGAAGTTTTTTTTTTTTTTTTTTTTTTTTTTAGCTGTGCCTTTGTGGGCTGAGTGACCGTGACCGCAAGGTGGCTCATGGAGAGCTGGTGAGTGTGAAACTGCTAATGGAAGATGTGCTAAGCAGCTGTCATATGACCATGGAGGATCCCCTTGGATGGCAAGCCATACCAGACAAAAATACACAGGTATTCTTGGTGAACAGTCTACATAATCAACCCATGCTGTGTTGTACAGAAGAAATTTCCTGTCTAGGTAATGGATGAGAGAACCACATCATTCCCATAACCTTTTCCAGTTGTCCCGGGACTGTGCTGATGTCACATGAAAGCAACAATGAAGCATGGGTAGCTGTGAAAGCTACTCCAAAGCACATTCTTTCACACTTAGTTCCATGATCAGTTGTATTTCCTTTTTTTTTAATTTTAAAAATAAAACCCAGGTTATGGAAGATCCATTGAAACACTCCAGCTGAGTGCTTTCCTTGAGAATCTCTCATTTAGGACCAGAATAGAAAGAGCCAGAGGGTCATAACAGAAGCCCCAGGTGAGCTTCTCAGGCTTGTGCTCTTATTTTATCTCTAAACCTGTGGGCCCCAGACCATCACTCCCTCCCTTGGGCTTACCCCTCCAAGGTAAGAGCCACTTACCCACCTCATACCATGACTTGAAACAATTCTGCATGCACGGTGAGAAAACCGATTCCAACCTAACTGTCTGGCCTTAGGGCTCTCACATATTCCTCACTCTCTCTGCAGGCAAACGATCTACTGGTGATACTTATGCAACAACTCTGAAATCTTTATGTCCAGGCCAAATCGCAAGCCACAGATTCATATCTTCACCTGCCTCCTGGACATCTCCTATTGTTCCATCTCACAGACAATGTGTACAAAGCTGAGCTTACTTTACTCCCCTAAAACTCAGTCCTCTTTCTATATTCTACTTCACAACCAGACTCCAAGTTTTGCAGTCCTATTATTTTAAGATCTCTACCATCCCAAATCAACATGATCTGTTGATGTTTGTGATTGTAACCATCTGCTAGAATCCATATACTTTATCTTTATCTTGCCTCCTTCCAATCCATTTATGGGGGGAGATATATATATATAGGTGGGGAGAGGAGGTCAGGTACTGCGGATTTTCCCAGGGGTGCTTAGCCAATGAGCCACATCCTTAGACTTTTTTTTTAATTATTTTTTTTTATTTTGAGACAGGATATTGCTAAATTGCTGAGAGCCTCGCTAAGTTGCTAAGGCTGGCTTTGACTTTGCCATCCTCCTTCCTCAGCCTCCTGAACCACTGGGATTACAGGTGTGCACCACCATGCCCACTTACCAGGGTAATATTTTAAAATAAAAACCTAATTATGTCACTTTCCTCCTTACAGCCATCTGGTGGCTTTTGAATACCCTGACAGTAGAGTCCACATACCTTAACTGGAACTTCATGACTTGGCTCCTGCCAGTATTTCTACCGTTAGCTACTTATATTTTGTCAAATGCACCATGTTCTCTTCTGTGCCTTCGTGCATCCTGGTCTCTCCAGTGGAAAACCTCCTCTCTTCGGACTTTTGATCTCATCACCTGATCAGCCCCCTTTTTTTTGGAAGATTTCAACTTCCAAACCTCTCTCTTTAGGAAACTTTTTCTGATCCTCCACCTTTGAAATGATGCTCCTCTGTGCCAATTAGAGTGCCCCTGCCACAATAGCATCTGTCCCACTAGCCATGACTTAAATAAGAGAATATTGATCTTTCATAATGGAGACTAGAAGAAAGCAGTTCAGGTTGGTACAACCACATAACCACTACCAAAGGACTCAAAATGTCTCCCTTGGCCTTGCAAGATAAAAACAGGAGCAAACACACTTTCTCCTTGAGGAGCTCTCCTTTTATCAAGAAGAAAATTCTTTTCTAGAAGCTTCCCAGGAGATTGTTTTCTCTTATGCGTTTTCAGTTAAAACTGAGTCACAAGTCCACTTTGTCCACTCAGGGTGGGGAAAGGTGGGTTTCTGTGTGCCCTCTAAATTCTACAACAGAAATAGAAGTTTCACCAAGAGGGATCATTTGCAGAACTGAGTGTAGACCAAGTAGTGCTAAAATTAAGGCCAAGATCAAGAAGTATGCAGGGGCCTTCATTCCCTCTATCTACCATTTTCTGGCCCTGTTTCTGATGGATTACCTTCATTTCCTAACACTCCCTACTCTTTTCCATTTTATTCTTTATCCATCCTGACTCTTCTTCCTTCTCCCATCCTTAAAGTCATTTAGATAGAAACGACTTACTCTTAATAAGAAGTGGGCTTTAGGGGGCTGGGATTGTGGCTCAGAGGTAGAGCGCTTGCCTTGCACATGCAAGATCCTGGGTTTGATCCTGGCTATTTATTATTTTGAAAAATGAGGATTGAAATTATATGTGCCCAAATGGGTACATATAATTTCATAAAAATAAATAAATAAAATAAAGGTATTGTGTCCAACTACCACTAAAAAATAAATACAAAAAAAAGAAGTGGGCTTGCTTTAATATTATTATTTATTTTAATTAGTTTTTATTTTATGTTATATTTTTATTTAAGAGTATTTAACTATTTATAGACACTAGGAAGCACTGGACTCCACACTGCCTTGTGAGTCAGGACTCCTGGGTAATCCTGGCCCAGCTATATAACAATGCTGTGATCTCTCCAGATTTCAGTATCCAAAACCCCAAAGCAAAGGTGATGAATTAGCTCAAGGTCTTTTAAAGTATAATCCAAGGAGCCCTTGATTTTCTCAGAGACACCTTGGGGCTTCTTGAGCAAATGGGGCTAATGATGAGGTCTCTAGTCTGCCCGCTCTGTGTCCCTGTTTGTAGCTTTGTTCTGTTGGATATTTTGGGCGACTATCCAAGATTTTATTTGGTGAAAGGATTTTGAGCATAAGACAAATCTGGAAATCCGTGGACAAGCTGGTTGCTTAGGAGGCCACAAGCCTCAGGGCTTGCCAGCTATCTGTGGGAGCTCAGTCTCTCGTGGGTCTGCCTTGCCAATTCTCCTTTGGGTACTCTGACCAACCCTCTCTTGGCAGACACACCTTTCTTTGGATATGTGAACAGCACTGATCTAGGATCCAACAACTCTGGGTTGCTCTTTCTGTTCCTAGGCAGGAAACTTGAGTGTCTAAGATACTGTCACCTGAGTGTTCTCTGATTCAAATCATGGGATTTGCCATTTGGTCTATGAAGGAAAGCTGCTTTTTCTGTGACTGAGACATTGTGGTCAGCCCGAGGACTTGCACCGAGGTCCCCATTTTGTCTGCCCTTCTCTGCGTGGCCCTGCCCCCTCACTCCATTAACTGCAGGAGAACAGAGGCCTAAAACTTTTCCCCCTTCCCTTCCTCCAGGACCAACAGCAGCCCTTCAACAAATACTTAAGGAAAGCATCTGTGAACAAATGAACAAATCATCATTTTAAAGTAAAATTGCCTATTGAGTAATACATTCAAATGAAAAGAAATGTTCTCTATCTAATGTTCTTTTACAGAATGGAAAAGGAACAGGAGATAGGATAAACTTAAGTTTCCATCTCCATGCTCATAACTTGGGTAAAATTCCCAATGAAAAGTTAGTTATAGGGGCTGGGGATGTGGCTCAAGTGGTAGCGCGCTCGCCTGGCATGCATGCGGCCCGGGTTCGATCCTCAGCACCACATACAAACAAAGATGTTGTGTCCACTGAAAACTAAAAAATAAATATTAAAAAAAAAGAAAAGTTAGTTATATTACTGCTCCACCATGGTGTTGACTTGAATCTCAAATGTGGTGAACACTTTCAAGAATGCAGAGGCTAAACATGAAACACGTTTTTTTTTTTTTTTAAGCCAAATAAAATCTTAATATGCAAGCAAGAGAATTTTTTAAATAAATGGTTCAAGTCCCAATCTGAAAGCTGAAACTCAGTGAGACATTTCAATCCTTTCTGTACACTGTCTGCTCAGGAAGGATTCTGAACCTCACTCTGCTTGACATGTGCTACAGACCTGTAAATGAGGAGAACATTCAGTCTCCACAAAAATTTTGTTTTGCATGGGGCTGCATGTAAAAAGCTGAGCCATATTGTCCACCATCATTAAAGGATTTCTGTAATGCTTTCAGCCAGAGTGGTCCAAAGTGCCAGGAGTCAAAAGTCAATTTCAAAGCAGCCCAAAGATTTCCAAGCTGCTGGAGGGCCAGTGCGATGTGGTGACGTCATTTGCTCTGCTGAGATCTTTTCTGATGCTGTGGAAGCAGCTGGAAGTACTGAAGGATCACTGGGGCCGGCTCAAGCTGGGAGACCAGGRCATCAGCTCCGTCTCCTTCCACAAACAGTACTCGGAGCTCTATGAGTGAGTGTGCTGAGGCAGAAATCCACGTCAGTGAGTAGAGCCCAAGGGCCTCTTGATGGGGAGATGAGATTTGGTCCATGAATCCTAGTACACCCAGCTCTATTGAGCCCATGGCAGCTGGCAACACTCTCAACAGACAGTGCAGTAGAGGAAAAGCTGGGTTGTATTAACTTCAAGGATGGAGCTGGATTCCACTGAGCTACACTATCTTTTACCTGTCCCTAGGAACTTGTATTTATCAAGTGACCCCACAGTGCTGACTCTTAGGTTTTTTAGCTCATAGTATCCTAGATGGACACCTGCTGCTGATGATGATAGTTACTCCTCCTCTCTCTTGGCCCCGTTAGAGTCTGAGCACAATTGAGGCATTGAAGGCAGAGTGTAATATGGACATGTAGCATGAAGCTGTAGGTGTGCGAGGTGGTACAGGATCTTGGCGGTAGGCCTTGGCTGGGATGACTTAACAGGCAAGAAAGGCACGTGCTTCTGCCACAGGTATGACCAAACAAGCATCCACCCACTACCCCAGACCTTCCTGAGCTTCAGAAGATTTCACTTTGGCACGGTGGGAATCGTCTATCTGGTGATGTTATTACAGTCAGTATTCCTGGTAACCAAGGGATGAGAAGCCTTGTCAATATTTTGAAAAATGAGGACTGAAATTATATGTACCCAAATGGGAAAAGACCTCAGGATTTAATATTGACTGAGGGAGTGGTGAATTTAGTTGTTGATGTGTCTGTAAATGGCCTGGGAGGTTTGTACCTGATGGCAGGAAATATAAAGTGAATGAAAATAATTGCCAGAGAATCAGAATAAGAAAAAAAAATGTTTGTTTGCTAATTTCTGTCTCTCTTCTTTGATAGAGCTGACATTCTCTACCCCAGCATGAAAGCTATAGCTAGGCAGATGGGGAAAGAAGATGAATTTGAAAGACTTATAATAAATAGCCAGTCTATTCTTCCCCCCAAAGGAGCTTCAGAAATTGAAATAAAAACTCAGCAGGTATGCAGGAGCTATTTTAAATTTGCTTTGGAAAGCTTGCTTTTTGGCATTAGCATGTAAAACTGCAGATATACTCATATGGTATTTTTTCTAAGAAGTTCAGGGTAAATTGAAAGTTTGGAAATCACTGGGCAGGCTGCAGGGTGTGGGAAAGAGGGGAGTAAATAAATAAATGTATCTGGGGGCTTTGATTAGGCAAAGAACTACCTCTTAATGTCTCAGTTCTATATGTTTAGATTKTCATTATTTTGATTTTTCTCCAATTGAGATGCACCTTCAGAAGAAATGTCAATAACATAATCAGTACTATCTTAAACACAACATCCAGCACACAAGTGTCCATGCAAAAATGAAATATTGAATATAGTTCCTTGTAAATTTTTTTTTCTGAAAATAAGAAAATATAACGTGTGCACTAGCCCACTCTGTGTTGGGAGATCTATATGGAAAAGTCTTTTCCATGTCTTTGCTTGGCCTGATCCTGGGACCCAAGCTCCCTGTGGTGGGGCTTATTGTGACAGGCAAGCAGAGACCCTGGTTGTTTGGCTGTCAACACAGAAAGGATGTTCACTAAGCCACAGGGTAGATTCAGCCCTCACACATATCCCAGGGCCAAGCGCATCATGGCTTATCCTTGTAAACCCTGGTTCCTCTCCAGCACCTGGAATCTTCTAACAAGGAACAGGTGGACTTTGAAAGCAAAAATAACCGAAATGGTTATTTTTGACCTTGATGGACCAGCAATACTTTATTAAGCATTTGAGGAGCACATTTTCAGAAGAGAAAATAGCAACTGGTTACAATAAGTACCTGAGTTTTATAGATTTTAGTGAGAGTTAATCATAACAGAATGTTTAGTGTAACTTAATCATTAGAGATTTAATCGTAGCAGAAGGTGTATGTTGAGTAGTCATAATGGGAAATGGTGAAAGTCCAGAGCCCATTGTTTTCCTTCTGTCTCCTGGGACTCATTGTCCTCCTTTCTCCTTGGGGGTTGCTGTTCCCCTTTTTCCCTGGGGGTTGTTGTTTTACATATACTTCAGGCTTTATGAGCTTAGTGGACAGGGTGAGGGCTCATGTGTATTGGAGCAGAGTTTTCTCTTCATGGTGTGTGGAGCATTCAGTCTTCTCATGAAATCCTCCTTGGTATCTAAGTTGAGTTTCAAACCTGAAGGTGGCTCTTAAAGAAGTGACAGCTCACAACATTTATGGCCACCTTGACAGACCCCAAAAGACATGAGCTCGTCTCTGGTATGGTGCCTTTTGCAATTTAGCAGAACTGGTAAAAAGGGTTGTGTTCTATCAACCAGGGAGTGGGCCAGAAAAAAAAAAAAAGATGTTGGTCGCCTTAGAGGTGTATCTACCCCCCAAAGCCAAAGAAAAGAACCCCTCCTTCTTCCCAGGGAGAAAATAACTGTGGGATAGAACTGAACTCAAAACCCCCCTGCAGGACTTGGACTTGGGAGTCCAGAGGATAAGCTTAATGTGGAGTGACTGTCAACCTATGCTTACTTTAGCTTCAGAAACTTCTGGAAAATATTGAAATTCATATGATCCAGGCGGTCTTAAGAAAAGTTAATAAAGAGATGACACTGGTTTTATCAGAAAAGTCCAAGGAAGAGTCTACTCTCCCAACAGGTAAAGCATCTTTATTTTATTACTTAAATTTTTTTCTTATTATAAAAGTCATCCATGTGTCCATATTCATTATTTTTAAAAAAGCTGCAATGATACAAATATTACCTTTTACACCTTGACCCAGAGAGAAATACTACTAACACTTAGGCTTCTTCCACTTAAAAGGCTTTAAATAGAAAAAGTACTTTAGCTTTTCTTTTTTAACTTTTTTGTAGTTGTATATGGAAACAATATCTTTGTTTTATTTATTTATTTATTTATTTATTTATTTTATGTGGTGCTGAGGATCAAACCCAGTGCCTCATGCGTGCGAGGCAAGCGCTCAACCACTGAGCTACAACCTGGCTCATATTTATTCTCAACTAAGCTGATTAACTCATAAATGAAATAAAGAAGTACAAAAATCATTCTTACATGCATGTGTCAAACGCGTGACATATATACGTGAAAATCTTAGGGTGGGAAGGCATTCAAAATTGTTTCCTCTGAGGACTAAACTCAGCTTAGAGTTTCTGCTTTTTAAGTTCAGTGAGTCATGGAGCATGCACTGAGCCTGTGGAGTCTTGGCTCAGACCTCCTTCTGCTGCCTCCCCACTGTGCACAGAGTGCTCCTGACCTGCCTGCTCCTCTGTCCTCTGGCATCCATCCCTAACCTCCTCCTCCATCCTCACCCTTCAATCACTGCCACTCTTCACCCCCAGGGGGACGCTTGAATAGCTGGCACTGTCTTGGGCACAAGAAAGGCAGCATCACAGTGTGTTCAGTGGGTAACCCAGTAAGGGTGATCCGCTAGCCCACCAGGGGTACCTACAGTATCCCAGGTCAGAGGTTGCAATGGACCCACGAGAAGGGGAGACACCTGGCTCAACTTCTCCAACCCTGATCAGGGCACTGTGCCTTGTTCTGATAGCTGCTGGGTCGCATGTATTTATGCACTGAGTCACAGGTGGGGCCATGGGGTGCTCATGAAGCTCTCCCTTGTCCTCCTAGGATTTCCAAAGGAGGGCAAGATTAAAGCAAATAAAAACACCATGACAGGTCAAGAGGGACTGCAGAGAAAAGGAAAAGCTTGGTATATTAATATCTTATAAAGCTACTCTTTTCCTTTTTTTTTTTGAACAAGAATTTTCATTGCACCAGGCTGTGTAGTTTATGTAGCTGGTCCTGTCCGAACTACAACTACCTACTGACTCTTAGCTCCTTATAATTCTACAGGAAAATCCATAACCTTTGATCTAGGGAGGGGCTGTCTGACTCACGAAGCAAATTCGGTTTTTCTTTTGAGAGGAAATCTATGGACATTGCAATGTTAACAATAACCTCAGTCCTCACCTAAGATATTGCCTCCCCCCACCCACCTGTATAAAGACGTTGTCATTTTATCAGTGCTTGAGTAACTAAATTCATAAGCAGGGCTTTGGGAAAAGACGGTGCAATAAGAGGACAAACCACTCCCCCACTGAGCGTCTCTAAATGTCACAGGAGAGCCGAGTGTGACTGAGCTCCAGTTACGGAACACTTCGCAAGACACAAAGCTCCTGTTGTTTGTGCTGTTTGCTGCATTGGGCGGCTCCCCTCAGAGTCCGTGGAGAAAATCCATAAGCACAAGGCAGGTGCAGCCATCTGCTTGTTTCCGGCTGTTGTTCTTAGGAGACACCCTGGGGTGAGGGCAGCATGTCTGCTTTGTGGCTGGGCTGCCATGTTCAGGGTGCTTGTGGTTGCACTGGAAAAAGGCTTTCAATAAGGGGTCAGTAGGGCCAAGTAGAGGAGAAGGGTAGAGTTATTTTTAACTGTGGTCAGGTTGACATAASGAAACCTTACCTTTACTGGAGTTTACTGACCAGTTCTAAACCTTATTTGGATTCCTTACTTATAAGATTTTTAAAATAAGTGCCAACAAGGGGGTTTGTTGTAGCTGCTGTTGTTTTGCTTTGGTTTTATTTTGATTTTTTCCTTTGGTCTGTTGGGCATGACTCTAGGGGGAGACCCGGCTCTCCTCCTTTACTGAGTTTCTCCAATGCCAGTGACTGTCACCCCACGGTRTGCCAAGGGTACTTTGGATGCATTTCTTCAGTTTGGTCTTTTCAAGACCTCTGTGGGCTCAGGAATCACTAAAGAAGGCGCTAAAACCTTGGAATTCCCACCCACCTACCATTCATCTCAGCAGCAAGGTGGAGCTTCCAAACAGGGGCCATTTTGTGCAAAGAGCAGCCACTGGTCAAGTTTAGCTAGGGGCCAGTGATTTCTCCAGAGGGAGGTGGTATTGGAGAGTATTGAGAACTGGCAGAAAGCAGAGGCTCTTGTTCTTTCTCTCAGGGTCTTTGCTTTCTCTCTTGGCCAACTCTTGTGTCTACATTTATACCTGCCAAAATGGAACCCTGGAATACCTCCCTCCCTCTACCTCCTCCCTTCCTTCCTACCATGTCTTGGAAATTAATCTTTTTATGCAGTGACTACATGAGTTTCCAGTTGGTCAGGGATGCTCAGAAGATATGACATCCAGATCTGGTCCTGGTGCTAGTTCCTTATTATCAAAATAAGTTTGGAAAAATCAGGGTAAATCATGTTGAAAAGTCTCCTCTACTCTGGACCTCAGGGCCTTTATTACCCCAGCATGCATTATTACCCTATGGTCAGGAAAGAGAGAAAATGCAATGGTTTTTAATTTCTTTGACCACAGAACCCTTTTCTCCCCTTAGAAGCATTAATTATTAACTCAAAGAATTAGTGTTCTGGGGAGCACTTTGAAAAACAGGCGTACAAGACACATACGTATAGTTCACACCATACGCCTTTTGACTTGCCCACTTCTCAGGCCCCCTGGCTGGTCAGAAGAACGGACTTGACTGGCAGTTGTGAGGCTGCCAGTTGAGAGGAGTTTCACTTCCACCCTGGGTTAAGACACAGGGGCCCCTCAGGTGCAGAGGACAAGCAGTTGTGTTAGGGAAGTGAAATGTTACCCAGTCAAGGGAGGAGGCTGGGCYGGAGTGCAGTTTAGAGAGGGAGGGAGGGTAAGTGGTTTGGCCCACAGGAAATCAAAGACCCTGGGAAGAGAGTGAAAAGGGACAACAAAATCCCAGTTTAACCTCTAGTGTTGTCGCCCTCCCACTTCCCTGTCAAAAACTGCTGCTTCATCTTAAAGAAGCCATGACCACACACAAACACACACACACACACATACACACTGAGAATAAGACACTTTTGGAGACAGCAAACTCCCCTCTGCCAGGACTGAGTTTTCTTGGATGGATTTCACTCTCCCTGGCTCCCCCCACCCCCACTCCTGCCTGCAGATACACGTGCATGTCTGAACTTGAATTTGCAAGCAGGAAGAGTGCTGGGAAACCTTCCCAACATCTGGTTAGAGTACTTCCTCTTCAGCTGAGCCAAAGCTAAACCCCACATTGGCTCCGTGGGCCGTTTCCCTGGTGATGGTCCCCAAACTAGAGGTGCATGACAGATTAAGTCCCTCACCAGCCTTCTCAGCAAGCCAGAGACCTGCCATACCAGKACCCTGGAAAAGTTATCCATATTCCTATCTGAAAAATTTTCTTTAATATACATGAACCCAGTCTTGTCAAAGCTTACACTTACTAAAGTCTTAAGAAGTATGAACTCTGGGCACATGAACCCTGGAATTTTCTACTTCAACTGTGTTGGGACGATGGCGATACATCTGTCTACCACCTTTATTTCCTAAAGGAAAAGCAAGCTCAGATTTATATGTTTATTATGGAAAGCAGCCAATTGTAGAAAGAAATGTGGAATCCTATCTTCAAAACCAACACCCCTCATTAAATAGGACAGTATGAGCAAACCTAAGAGGCTGCAGCTGTCATAGCCACGTTTCTGGGCAATCTGTGCTGGACACTCCTCTTTTGTGCACGGAAAACTCCTATCAGAAAACTTGAGGGCACAAGTAGGAAATCTCATCTGAAGTTAGAAATAGCTGGGGACAGGGAGGGGCCTGGTGGGCATTCTTGCTGCTGGCCAGCACCCCCATAACAGAAAGGGGAGCAGAGTGGGACTTGGCTCTGGTGAACAATTCCAAGGCTCCTCTGAGACCATGCCTGAGGAAGTGAGTCCTACCAGGCCAGTCTCACCAAGGTAATTAACACACACRTGTGCTCCTGCTCTCCCATATGGAAGTTAAGAAGGCTGGATAGTCTTACATTGTTCTAATGAWATCATTTTTTATTTTGATTTTATTTTTAGTAGGTAATATACATATCCACAGGGTTCAAAACACAAACAACATAAAAATAGATAGAATTCTCCTTGCCACTATTGATCCCCTTGTGACCATTCTGCCACCTATATCCATAACCAATTTCATTATTTTTATAAATCTCATGTACTTCTTTATGCACATGTTAATTCACTCTTTGATTTGATCATGATTTACTGAGCATCTCCTATGTTCTAGGCTACCACATATTAGGTGCTGATGTAGGGATACATCCTTACTTTCATAAGCAAAAAATCCTTACTCTTGTGGAGTTTAGAATCAAGAATAGGAGAGACAGCAAGCAATAAACCACAATTTTTTTTTAAATAATGGAGTATGGAGGATGATTTTGAAAAGGCTTGAGGGGGGCATTGGATCAGAGTAGACCTCTCTGAGTTAGTAAGAGGGTGTTCAAGTGAAGAGCATCCCAGACAGAAGGCACAACTCAATCGAAAATCCTAAGTAAAGCATGTACTGCTAATGTGGGAACAGCAACCCCAAGTGTGACTGGAGGAGGGGGTGTGAGGGAASAGAGCAGGGGATGAAGTCAGAGAGGGATGGGGCAAGGAGGACTGGTCATGCAGAGCCTCGTAAGGACTTTAGCACTTATTTTGAAAATGCCCCTGGTTTTGAATGACGTGATCTGGTTTCTATTTTACCGGATTCTCTCTRGCTGCTATATTGAGGGTAGACTATGAAGGAAGAAAGGATGAAAGAAGGGAGAGGTTGGTTTGGAGGCTGTGGCAATAATCCAACAAGAGGAGATGGTGACTCAGAGCTGGGAGTAGAGGGAAAGGTAAGTGGTCAGACTCTGGGTAGATTTTGAAGGAGGCACTAACGGATTGGGTACTATTGGAGATGGGAGAAGGAGATGAATTCATTATGACTCTAAGATTTTTTGACCTGAGTGATGGGAAAATAGAATTTCCTTGAGCTGAGACAAAATAGGCTGTTGATGAAATAAGTTAGGGAGGAAAAACTGGGAATTTGCTCCTAAGTTAGGCTTTAAATGCCTTTTAGACTGCAAGAAGAGAGGCTCAGTGGGTATTGGGTCTAACTTTGAGAGTTGTCACTATGTGAGTGAGATTGAGCCACGAGTCATGATGAACTAGCGAAGAAAGTGGATATGTGAGGAGCTGAACCAAGGCCTGAGCCCTGGGACACTCTGAGCTGGGAGGGGAGAAAGACAACCAGTGAAAGAAACCTAGAAGGAGCAGACATCCAAGTACAAGGGAAACCAGCCAGAGTAGTGTCCCAATGCCTAGTGAAGGAACTTTCTCAGTTAGGAAGTTAACACATCGGGTGAAATGCTGCCAGTAGGGAAGTAAAACCACTGTCTTTAACCAGAGGAAATGGTTGGCACTCATGACAAAATCGGTTTCAGCAGACTGGTGGAAATGAAAACCAGGTGAAGGGGTTTAAGAAGGAATTTGAGACAAGCCAAGGACAGTTTCAGTGTAGACATCTCTTTCTGGGAATTTTGCTATAAAAGGATACAAAGAAATGAGGCCACAGCTGATGGAGTCAGGTGGGGGGTAGTTTCAAGAGAAGGATTTTTATTATTTGAATGRGAGAAATGCATGTGCCATTGTGAATGATCCAGGCCAGAGAGGAGAAGTGATGACATAGGAGAAAGACCGGGAAGTTTCTGGAGCAATGACCCTGAATAGTCTTGAGGCCATATCCTTCCAATTGTGTTTATTCTATCTTTTTATTAAAGATGACATTTTAGGGGCTGGGACTGTAGCTCAGTGGTAGAGCGCTTACCTAGCACATGTGAGGCACTGGGTTCAATCCTTAGCACCAGCTAAAAATAAATAAATAAATAATGGCATGCTGTTCGTCTACAAGTACAAAAAAAATTTTTCTTAAAGATATCATTTTATATCTACTGTTCTGCACTTTGCTATTGTAACTTAATCTATAGTTGTTTTTGATTATTAGTTTTTGCTCATAAGTATAGGGAGACTTTCTTTTTTCAATAGCTCTATACTACTCTATCAAAAGGACATATCATATTTTAAGTAACCAGATCCTGAATGAGGGACACCTGTGGAGTTTCCAAGCTTTTGCTGCCAYAAACAATGTTACCCTGACAACAGTACATGCCTCGTTGCACATGTCTCAGCCATGTCGCTCATTTGTTTCTGATAGCTRTGTTAGACTAGAAATATTGCTCAGACACATACAGGATATTAGTGAAAATAGGCATCTTATAGGACCAATAGTAATGGTTCACTCAGGCTTTTTAGTTATGGTAACAGAACCTTGTTTACTGTATTCCAGAAATGCTTTTCTAAATCTTTTCATTAGGAATCTTGCCAGAGATCTTCCTTATTCTGTGTTCCAGAGAGTTCTGGGTCCTTGACTACCACCTCCCCTCTGCTGCCTCACCCAGGTTTTAGTGCTTGTGGAAATGACAGCTTGTGGTGCCCATGGTGGTCTCAGAGAGCTGCCATTTCACAGCTGTTAATGACGCTTGGTGTTTTGCGATACCAGTGTTGACATGTTTTCCCTCCTAGATCTTTGGAAACATCAAGTCATGAAAGAAAATTTTTCAGTTGCAAGACCACAAATAGTTGAGAAATTTATACAGAAATTAATGGAGAATTACCAGGATAGTGGACCAGAGGTATGTATTGAAAATTAGTCATTCTGTGTTTTTTTTTTTAAATATAAACCCAAAGGAACACTTCATCATTTAACACAGCTCCTAATGTTTCCTTTACTCCTGAAGAATGATGATATGAAAACTGAATCTGAACCCCAAATTGTAATAATTTGTTGCAATATGAATATTGGAAAAAGTCTGATATCTATAAAGATCTGAGTAGACAGAAAAATATATTGGCTGATTTTGAATTTAGTCAGGTGATTAAAGCAACTTTGGAGTTTGTAATGAGTTGACTTTTATGTTTTGCCTCATTCCTGTTGTTTATCTGTTAGTACAGAAAATTTTAGAGGAAAACCAAAAGAGCCTATAACACTACTAACTAGAAAACATTTTTAAAATCTACAATATGAAAAAAAAAAGCCAACAGCACAGAAAGGTAACATCTTCATTCTTTCCCCATTCCATCTTCCTCCCCCTCCCCCTCCTCCTCCCTCTCCCCCTCCCCCTCCCTTCCTCCTCCCCCTCCCCCTCCCCCTCCCCTCAGTGCCAGAGATCAAACCCAGGGCTTCAAACATGCTGGGCATTCTGCCACTGAGTGACATCCCCATCCCATCCACCACCTGGTTCCTTCTCCACAAAGGGAAGTGGCACCAGTAATTTTTGTGTGTACATCCTGCCAGAAAAAATATGTGGGTCCATACCACTCTATATTATTATACTTAACAGGAGTATTATTTAATACACACACACTATCCTTGGAATTTCAAAACATATTTACTCTTGGCAGGAAGTGCTTAGCGAAATCAAGAAAATCCACTGAAAAAGCAGAATAAGAGAGTAAACGTGGATGTTTGGACATAATTTTTAGGATGATTAATAAATGTTTTGGGTAGATATGAATCACCAATATTCAATCATTTAAAAAATCTGTTTTGGCAAAATGTGCTCCATTTTTAAACAATGCTTTCTTGAAACACATTTTTCTAAGTTTCTGAAAGTGTTCTTCATCATTTTATAATAAACACTTCAGTTCTTAATTATGAAGTAAAGAATTCACATGCTTGGTCGGCGATACATTCTTCCTCAGATGTTGATGGTTGACGGAGTTTTTCAGCTTTCCATTATACACAAACATGGGACCATACACTGTGATGAGGGGGTACACAGAGAGGGCAGGGCATACTCAGAAAAATATTTGCATTAAAAATGTGGCTCGCCTTAAAAAGGAAGGAAATGCAGATCCATGCTACAATATAGACACATTGAGGATGTATACTAAGTGAAATGAAAGGAAAATACTATCTGACTCCATTTTTTTAAGGTAACTAGAGAAGTCAAATTTATAGATTCAAAAAATAGAATGGTGGTTGCCAGAAGCCAGGGAGAGGAGGAGAGGAGTTATTGTACCACAAAGTTTTAGTTCTACAAGATGAAAAGATTTCCAGAGGTGGCTGGTAGTGACAGTTTCCCAACAACATGTCACTGAACTGTACACTTGAAGATAGTTAAAATGACAAATATTACCTTATAAATATTTTACCACAATAAAAGCAAACAACATACTATTATGTATGATTGTAATGCACCAATTAAACAACCTCGACAATTTTGCGGTTCAATTTCTGCTCCCTGTATGCTCCTCTGTATGCTTAGCACCCAGGATAAAATCTTATAGGGAAGAAATATGGGCATGGCTAGGCAGGGCGAACCCATAGCAGGTGCAACTGAAACTCCAGAAACTCTCGAAGAGGTTGGTGTTGGTCTGCCAGTGTCTAGGAATCATGGGCCCTCAGGATGCTTGGGTCCCTCCAGCATCCAGACTCTTCTAGATCATCTGCAGTGACAGGGAGCTCAGTCTCTCCTAAACCTTCCCCCAATCCTAGGCAGCTCCTGCTTTAGTCAGCGCCTCCTGAGCTGGATTGGGTCTGCAGGCTCCACAACCCCACATCTCCACCATGGATTCTCTTTTCTGAGACGCCACAGATCATGGTTCTGACCCCTGACAATGAATCTTTAGATGTCTGGGGCCAGTTCAGTAGAGCCATGGTTAGCATGTGTGAAGACAGTTACAGCAAGGGGCAACTTTGGAAGGACAAATCAAAACAGGTGTCCCTCTGGGTGTTGGATTACAAATCATTACCCTTTCCTCCTGATGGGGCAGCTCCGTGCCAGGAAACATGGACTGGAAAATGGAGCAGTCCCTGGGCTCCCCCTTCACCTGGATGCCTCTGGGCAGAGCACAGATGGCAAGAGCTTGCCTTAAGGACCTTCGCCTGTCTGCTCTCCTTCAGACGAAGCTGTTCCCAGTTCCTTCTGTGGTTTTCTAGGAATACCCTTGCCATCTTGATCCGTCTTCTTTAAATTCATGGCTTTCTGGCCAGCAGTGACCTTGTCCTGGATATTTTGCTTGGATTAATGCCTCGGAGTGTGTTGGGTTTCAGCAGCCACGTCACAGCTGACGCATTAAGCTGTCATCTGAAGCCCACATGTTGCACTCAGACTTCCTGATGCCGCCATATTATCAGCCTCCTTCTTGTTCCGTTTGGTTCACTCTTTGGACCTCTTGAGAGTTTTAAAAATATGGATTTTTGTCATCCACTACTCTCTCCTAGTTTTATACCAGCTGAAATCTGGTATCCTCATTCAAATAATTAATAGCAGTGGATGCCAGGACAGGCCCCTAGCTCCATACTGCCCACTCTAGGTCCTGGGTAGCCCGGTCCTCCTTGGACACAGGTTCTCAGTAGTCAGAAGCCCATCCAGCTGTACTTTATACAGCCCATGTTCTCCCAATTTTCCCTCTCAGATGTCCTGCTGAACCCAGATATACCATGGTTATTGTGTTTCCTGAGAAAATAGTATTAATCTGACCACTTTTTCTTGAACCCATGTTGGCTTCTTGTGATCTTTGCTTCCTTCTCCAAATTCTAGAAAACCAGCTTTTCTTGTACAAATTTTATACCAAATACACTAAAGCAAGAAACTGCCTTTTTTAAAAATTCTGGTACTGGAAGTTGAACCCAGGGGTGCTCTACCACTACATCTCCAGCTCTTTTTTGAGACAGGTTCTCGATAAGTTGCCAAGCTGGCCTTGAACTTGTGATCCTCCTGCCTCAGTCTTCCCTGTGGGATTTTAGGTGTCTGCCACCTCACCCAGCAAGAAACCAGACATTTTTCAAATCAGAACTATAGTTACATATTTTGTGGATTTCAGAACCATTTCCATTTATATGACAGAGATTTCTATTTTTCTAGGCACTTTTTTAGAAATATAAAGGCGAGAAGTATAATCCCTGCCCTTATGACGACAGTTAGGTGAACCAGCGATGTCTGGAAAAGGAGTAAATTCTTTGCTAGAGCCCTCACAGGTTGCCACATGAGCTTAGAGAAGTCAGGGAAGACTTCCTGGAAGAGGTGTTTTTTGAACCATATGCTCCCAGCAGGATATAAGACCAGACTTTTCCCCATAAGGTCCAGCACCTGCCATGCTTCCCCATAGGCTGGCTCCCTGGAAGAATCTGTGGGGCAAGCCAGTGCTCTTCTGGCCAGCACATCAATGGATGCTGTTTATTTTATTTTTATTTTTATTTATTTAGGTACCAAGGATTAAACCCAAAGGTGCTTAACCACTGAGCCACATCCCCAGCCCCTTTTATATTTTTTTAGAGACAGAGCCTCCCTAAGTTGCTTAGAGATTCTCTAAATTGCTGAGACTGGCTTTGAACTTGTGATCCTCTTGCCTTAGCCTTCCGAGCTGCTGGGATTTCAGGCATGTAACACCATGCCTGGTACAGTTCAGGTTTAAATGGTGGTGAAAGACAGCCCCAAGGAGAGTAGGGCTGCTCACTGGGCAGAACCAGGCCAGAGGGCTGACTGTGGCTCTTCTGCTGCCCAGAAAGGAAGTGGGCTGATGAAGCCTGTTCACACTACATTCAAGCCGCAGTGACATTTACAGTGACCCAGGAAGACAGCCGTAGGTTGTAGAGTGACTCTAAGAGCTGTAGGAATGTGCCATCAGAAGCCATGGCGGCAGTATTCCAGCAATTACTGTTCAAGGAGCATCCAATGCTATCTCTGGAAGGTCGAGTGCACGACTGAAGTTCCCCTGAAGAATGGAGACAGCCAGGACCCCAGGAGTCTGCCTGTTTCTCTCCCTTGCCTGTCAGTCACAGCATCCTATGTGCACCACCTGGACACCCCTCTTTCCACGGCTCTCTGAAGAAGCTCTACCTGCGCAGTTACTCCCTCTCCCTGCTCCCAGACTCACGCCCTCTGGGCTGGCCCTTAATCTGATCCTTCAGCCCATCTGCAGAGGCCTCAGCAAAGCCACCAAGAGAAAGAAACAACAAAACTCCTCTGGCCTCTGGGAATGCTCAAGCAGAAGAGTCCTGGCCGTTCCCAGCTCCTCGGTGTCACCACAGGGCTCCTCATCCTTGCTGGGTAGATCACGTTCTGCATTGGCTAACAGAGCCTGCCAGAGGGCCATGGCGTTCAATTCTGCAGTACTATTCTGCAGGGGCTATGGCGGCATTAGTATGAGAAACAACTGCCTTGCTAAAGTGCTGTCAGAGGCCTTGTTGGCACATCCACGTGCAGGCGGTGATGCTCAGGACAGTAAAGAGTGAGTCACTGTGGCTGGCTCTGAGTGCTGGGCCCGGATGAGATCACTGGCCACACCTTACTGGCCCACTGTGCAGTCTCATGACTTCTCATGGCTTCAAGTTTTCATCAGTCAGCCCCGGAAGAGTTTCCTTTGTCATTCTAAGCCCACGTAGCCTGGCCCTTTCACCACAGAGAAGGCAGGGTCTAGGCAAAGAACCTGACATTCCCTTTGCCTTGTGTCAGCTGCTGAACTACAGCTGTCCTGCTGCTCACCTTCCAGGACCTGAGTGGGACCAGAACAGGGGCAGGGTGACCTGCCCTCCCATCTCCCACTGAAAGGCCCCTTAAGGAGGGCCCTGGAGAGTGAGTCAGGGGAGGCAGGGCTCCTGCCCAACTGCCTGGCTGTTCATTCCATT